AATGTTCAAGGACCCAGAAAGGCAAATTTGTTTACATAGGTAGAAAACGTATGCCTTATTAGTCCAAATTAGAGCCACTATTCTAATTATCCTAATTCGTCTGGGCCATTTCACCTTAAAGCTGACCATCTCATATCCACCAAAACTCCACTTGGGAGAAACTGGCACAGTTGGGCATTCTAGTTCAATTTCAGATCTTAACCCTTATAAATGAGTTGTAATGCATACACTGGAAAACATTAAGCCTATAAAAATAATTACAGTTCATTAATCGCACCTTTTTTTTTTTAGCAACTTATCATGCAAATAAATGCCTAGCAAATTCTTTATTTTATTCTTTTCCTTCCTTTACCCTCTGACCTCTTGGTCCTTTTTTTTCAATTATATAAAAAAATCAAGTATAATCTAATTTCAGGTATGTAAAAAACAGCCTGGGAGGTCAGTTCTCAGCACCCAAGTTTAGCACCTCATAGTCGCCTCCACAGGCCCCTGCATGCATCTGGTACATACACAGTCAATCAGGTACATAGAACACAGAAGGTAAGCCGGGCGGTGGTGGCGCACGCCTTTAATCCCAGCACTCGGGAGGCAGAGGCAGGTGGATCTCTGTGAGTTTGAGGCCAGCCTGGTCTAGAAGAGCTAGTTCCAGGACAGGAACCAAAAAAGCTACGGAGAAACCCTGTCTCGAAAACACACACACACACACACACACACACACACACGGTAAGAATGAACAAATATTTAAAAACTAGTCTTTTTTGAGAAATTCAAATCATAACAACTTTGAGATTCTGTTTTACACCTATCAGAATGGCCAAGATCAAAAACACTGATGATAGCTTCTGCTGGAGAGGATGTGGGATAAGGGGAACACTCCTCCATTGATGGTGGGAATGAAAACTTGTACAACCACTTTGGAAATCAGCATGCCGATTTCTCAGAAAATTGAGAAACAATCTACCTCAAGACCCAGCAATATCACTTTTGGGTATATATCCAAAGGATGTTCAATCATACCACAAGAACATGTGCACAACTATGCTCATAGCAGCATTGTTTGTCATAGCCAGAACATGAAAGAACCTAGATGCCCCTCAACTGAAGAATGGATAAAGAAAATGTACATTTACACAATGGAGAAAAAAAAATAATGACACCGCACATTTACACAGCAGAAAAAATTAATGACATCTTGAAATTTGCAAGCAAATAGATGGATCTAGAAAACATCACATTAAGTGAGGTAACCCAGACCCAGAAAGACAATTATCACATGTACTCACTCATAAGAGGATTTTAGACATAAAGCAAAGAAAAGCCAGCCTACAGTTCACAACCCCAGAGAACCTAGACTACCCTAAGAGAGACATACATGGATTTACATAGGAAGAAGAAAAAGACAAGATCTCCTGAGTAAATTGGGAGCGCGGGGGTCATGGGAGAGGGGAGAAGAAGAGAGGGGAGAAAGGGAGGGGAGCAGAGAAAGATGTATAGTTCAATAAAAACAATGAAAAAAGAACTAGCCTGTTTTGTCTTTCTTTCCTTTATATACCATTTTTTTTTTTAGATAAAAGCCTTTGGAGTAGCTTCTCAGACTCTGAGCTTGTTAGGACTAGGGAATGAGATAGGGGTGCGCCCTGTGCAGACCTGACCAGAAGGATTAATGGGAGGCAGCTGGCAAGGATGTGTGAGAGTGTAGTGTGTGTGTCATCTCTTGGTTAAAATGAGTAGTTTTAGGCCTTAAAATAAGGATTATATACTGATCCCCAATGATTCCTGCTCCCTTGTGGAATTCCTTCTCTTGAATGTGACTTTCTTCAAATTCTCCAAGTGGGTAGAGTAGCACCACTTCTGTGATTATATTACATAAGAATAACTAACCTTTTCTTTTTAAAAAAAATATGTTTTGGGCTGGAGAGAAAGCTCAGTCGTTAAGAGCATTGGCTGCTCTTCCAGAGGACCTGGTCTAGGCTTCTCGTTCATGGAAATTAATACATGACAGATGTCTATTATGTTATGTTCCAGTATTTGTGGTAATATTATTAAGCAGCAACGACAAAGAAATACATTTTGTCAAGTTAGAAGAGATAGCAAAACAAGTTTTATTTATTCAATTCTATCCATAAAAATTACACAGGGGCAATTTGGGCATCTTATTAGTGTGGGCATAGAGTCAATAGTATTATTGGGCTTGTTTGTATTCAAAATGCAAATCTCAGGAGCCCCTAATTCCTGCTTGTTTGGAGGACATGCAGCGAATGGGTGACACACAGGAGTCTGCACAAGGGACTTTGTGCTCTAAGATCAGCATTTGCTAAAATGCCAGCAGGCTGGGTTGGGAGGGTGACGGCACACCAGGGGCTCCTCGTCCTTTCAAACTCCTGGCTTTGTGGTTTGAGCTCCTATGGACAGAGTGAGTTGTGACAGAAGCAGAAGGGTGATTTTCAAGGGACTTTGTCATAGCACGGGTCCCGGAAGTGCTCTCAATGGCACTGGAATGTAACCGAGGGCATGGAGGGTCTGGCTGCCCTGTAGGAACTGTGGCATTGCTCTGGCGCCCAGAGCATGAGGAACAGTGTTGGCTAATTTTATGTTAGCTTCACACAAGCTAGAGTTACTTGGGAAGAAGGAACCTCAGTTGGGGAAATTACCTCCATCAGATTGGGCTGCGGACAAGATTGTGGGGGCATTTTCTTGATTGATGTTTGATGTGGGAGGGACCACTGTGGGTAGTGCCACCTGGGGCAGGTAGTCCTGGCGGTAAGAAAGCAAGCTCAATAAGCCATGAATAGAAAGCCACTAACCAGTACTCTTCCATGGTCTCTGCTTCAGTTCCTGCCTCCAGGTACTCGCCCTGACTACCTGGATGATGTAGAGAGCGGACTAAGAAATACTGGGCAGGCCTTGTGGTCACCTAGGCCGAAACCATGAAGAACCACACTAGTAGATCTGAGCAGAGAGACAAATGTTCAGGAGTGGCATTTGAGATAACCTTTTTAGGGACTCCCTAGTCGCCATCTTAGGTGGCCAGTAGTGTCTTCTGTGCTCCTCGGGGCCTACCCAAGGATGAAGAGCACTAGAGGTTAGCCCTAGAGAGAGGATGAAGGAAAGAGGACAAGGGCAGGGAAGGATGGCACAACAAATATTGCACTGGCTGCCGCTTTACAACCAGATGCCATGAACCCGGCAGACTGATGGCTATGTCCACTCAGTCACACAGGATACGTAGACAAAGAAAAAAAAAAAAGAAAAAAATCTTTAGGCCATTCCACGGGAAGGAGAATAACAGTAATTTATAAGTCCATCTCCTTTCCTGTCTTGTTCATATTGACTCTTAGGTCCCAAAGAAACTCTAAACAAAAGGCTGAGGTACCTACTAACGTATTAAAGCTGACACTGTCTGCTAGGCTCTCTGAGCATCACACAAGTACTCCTTACAGGGTCCTGGCTCCTCTTAGCACTGCCTCTCCCCTACTCTATCCTAAACCTCTCCAGCTGCAGAGCTTTGCTTCCCTGCCCCCAATTGCTGCTGCTTCCTTCTCCTCCTCCTCCTCCCCTGCTTCTTCTTCTTCCTCCTGCTCCTCCTCTTTCCCATATAACCCAGCCATTTTGGCCATGAGCTCTTTTGGTCCTTGGCTTCTCTATTGATCCTCATTCTCTTGGTTCTCTCCTGGTCTTCTTGCCCTTCTCTCTTCTCTTTGTCTCTTGCCCCTGACTCCTCCTCTCATGGTCAGGTCTATTCTTTTGGCCATGTTCAGTCTAGACTCTTCCAATCGTCCCTAGATGTATTCTCCCTCATCTCTTCAATGAAAACCTTCTCCCCAACCATACCTAGCAGCAGTTCTGTTCTCATTTTCATTCATTGACCAGTTTGCTCCCTACCATTTTGAGTTCTCATGTATGGGCTCTTTAGAAGCCGAATCCCATATCCCTCAGGGGGACTCTTCATTCAGGTCTGGCAGTGGTGGAAGACACCACAGTCTCAAGGAGTATGACAATGGCCTGGTTGCACAGAGCATCATGAAGAACAGGGTACCCTTCTACTCCAAGTGACTACTTTTAGGGATGATAGGGCTGGTAGACGGAGGTGGGTGGGGCCAGAGATAGAGGAGATGGAGAACAGAAGCGGTGAGACTCCGAGAGGCAACGTAAGTGTGCTCTTCTATTGGTTCTTCCAGAATGCCCTGTTGGGGATAGAAAGAACTTTGTAGGATGATGGGGGTTTGCGGGAAGGAATAAAAGATTGGAGTTGAGCATGCGGACTATAATTGTTAATTTGACTGTTTTTTGAATACCCAGGCAAGGGGAAGCGAAGTGAAGCAAGGAGCTGGAGAGGCTTAGGGTAGGGGGTGATGGTGGTGGATGTGTGTGTAGTGCTGAGAGGAGCCTGCCCTGCCCCCAGGAAGGAATACTTGTGATGCTGGGAGAGCCTATTTTGAATACTCTGCTAAACAGTCATTCCTCTCACCTAGTTCTAAGAGAGACTCCTTCCTGCTGGAGTGCAGCCTCAAGCTCAGAAGATGGCATTCCAAGTAAAGGAGTGAGAATGAACCCAATATCAAGGTCTGTGTCACAACAGACAAATATGCAAAGGCACCAAATTCCAGATAAATGCATTTCTGGGCAAAGAAGAGGACTGGGACTGGAACTTTATTCTTAGGCACTGTGAGGATCCGCCATCTTTATTTTTTTAAACTCAGAGATATCAAGCAATTACCGGATTAGAACCCATTTTTGACGGGAGTGTGCGATTTCCTGTACTTTGCTAGCATTCCTGAGAAGACCAGCGGCCTCCCTTGTGCTCCCATTCTTCAGTCGGGAGGCAAACATCTCTTTTTGAGATGAGGAGGAAAACAACCAGCTAGAAAAATTACCCAACGTAACACAATTGAGCGAGAAGGTCTGGCTCTAGCAAGGAGGTGACGTCATGCGACTGTGGGCGCTCGCTCAGACGCGTTCGTGAGCTGCGCAGGCGCTAGGCCCGCCCCGCTGCCGCGCGTCCCCGTGGCGCCCTGCCCGCGCGCGAGGCAGGACGGGAAACCCAAGATGGACTCTTCTGTTTGAGTCCTGCCCATCCGTCTTCGTTTTCCCCGCTGCGGCCCGTTCTTCCTCCGGGGTCAGTGAGGGACAAGGGATGAGAAGCTGTGGCGGCCGAGGAGCCATCCTGACCGACCTGCCGCTGCTCTCGGGCCTCCGCGGCCCCTGCGCCTCCGGGCAGCAGCCGGGGCTCGCAAGCGCCTGACGCGTCCCGAGTCACTCAGGTGCGGGCCGGGCTGGCTTGCGCATCGCTGAGACTTGATGTCGGGGCTGCACTGCAACCGGTGACCCGAGGGCTGAGCGGCCCGGGGCGGGCCCTGAGAGCGTGCTGGGGTGAGGGGGACCCTAGTCTCAGATAGGCTTTCCGGGGTGCGCCCGACGCGCCCTGCGCGGGATTCTCGGGCCGCTATATCTCAGCGTGGCTTACTCAGCCTCTTTTTGTAGAGACACAACTCTGGGTTCCGCCGTTTGCATATGTTTCTAGTAACCAGCAATGACAATTTTATTTAGAGCATGTCAGCTGTGTGGCCCGTAATGAATAACACGGTTAATAATTTTGGGAGAACTGTGAGAGCATCGAGTATGACGCTTTTGGGCTAAAAGACATCGAACTCTGAAAATGATGCTGTAATTGATAATCCTGTAGGTTTGTTTTAAGCTATAAGAGAGTGATTTACATGGTTGCACAAGAATAAGTCGGATAAACCTGCCAGTTCTTTAATGTCTTTGTTGCGTAGAATTTGGAAAAGCCAGCCACATTTTGAATTTTTTTTAGAGGTTTTATAAGGCATTTATGGTTCTTCAGATTGAGCTCTTCTCAATACTGCTGTATTCCTAGGAGGCGAAAAAGACGTAATCATCTCAGGGATGGCATTTAATTCACAGCACAAAAGACTTCGTGACTGTAGAGGGCTGCATAGAAACTAGAGACTTGGAGGTCTTTGTAAGAAAAAAAACAAAAGACCAATGCTGTAAAGACTTCAGATACGAACTTCAAGTCATATTTAGTTAGATGTTGCTAATCTTGAGTGTGATTTTAAACGCTCAACAGTTGGCTATAGTACTCCTATCTAATGCTTGCTTTGAGCCATGTTTGGGGATTGTAATTTAACTGATATGCCATACCCTCACTCACCTTACATACTAATGCCACACAGACCGTCAGGAGGTTAGCCAGCCCTGCTTAAGGATGCATGGAAATGTTTGTGCAGTGCTCTGGCATGTTTCCGCCGTAGCTCCGTGCAGGTCTTTGTAGTCACAAACTGGTTTTGACTAGAAGGCTGACGGGCATGTGTTTGGATTCGCACAGAAATAATGTTGATATTTGGAACCCATGTCGAACTTCTCTGAAGAAAGGGCAACGATGATTGCAGCCGGGGATTTGCAGGAATTCGTTCCTTTCGGTCGTGACCACTGCAAGCACCACCCTAATGCTCTGAACCTTCAACTTCGTCAGCTGCAGCCAGCCTCGGAGTTATGGTCTTCTGATGGTGCAGCTGGCTTGGTGGGATCTCTTCAGGAGGTTACAATCCATGAGAAACAGAAGGTTTTATAACGATTCTCGTCATACTTTTGAAACATAGCATGAATAAATCTACTTGTAATTTGAAGCTACGTAGATGCATGTGAGAAATAAGTGTGTGTGTGTTGGCACTTGGACTTTAAAGGCTAACGTGTGGTAATTTCAGTCTGTGCTGCTCCTTGGGCGTACTACATAACTTGTAGTGAGTCTTGAGTACCTCTGTCATGGCTCGTTTTAAAGTTTGTTTTCACTTCGTATGACTAAATGTTAGAGATTAGAAATGCTACCTGCAACACATTTTTATGTCGTCACATAAGAGTATTAGAGCAGTGTTTTTTTTTTTTTTTTAATTAGATAGGCTTCTCAAAGTAGCTCAGATTGACCCTGTTCCTTCTGTCTCAGTCTTCTGAGTACTAGCATTAGAGGTGTGTGCCACAGTGGTTGGCAAAGTAGTGGTTCTTATGGAGATGAGATGTAAAAGTATGTCAGAAAATAGCAGCCCCAAAACACCAAACAGAATAGTTTCTGTGTGTCCCCCAGCTTCTCCTTCTTCTTTGTGTTGGTAGTTCTGGGGGCCAAGCCAAAGTCATGGTCTTGGTAGGCAAACGCTCTGCCACTGAGCTGTACATCTCTTCTGCTGCCTTACTTAATCTTTATGCTTTTGAAATCAAAGCTCTTGGAATATACATAGTTCCAAAGCAGAAACTTTCTGTCTTCCATTCATGTTGTGGGTGGGACAAGGGGAAGAAGCTGTGCAGCAGGGACGTCTACACTGCACCAAGTCCCCCATCGAGCCACATGTGCGCCTCACTGTCTCTTTTCTATTCCCTACATTATATTTAATACATACTTTCAGTTTCCATTCAAGCATGGATTTTATTTTATGATCTTTATGTAAGACACACTTTTTTGCTTATCTGTGTTTTTGACATAATAATACAGGGAACATAGAAATATAAAAGAAAACACTTAACACAGGGAATTTTTGAGTCAACTTTAAAAATTATGTCTGTGGGTATTTTACCTGATTGTGAGTCTATGCACCATATGTGTGCAGTGCCCACAGAGGCCAGAAGAGGGCATCAGAGCTCTTGGAACTGGAGTTAGAGATAGTAGTAGTAAGACACCTTGTTAGGTGCTGGGAATCAAACCTGGGTTCTCTGGAGGAACAGTCAGTGCTCTTAACCACTGAACCATTTCTCCCACCTCTAAGTAATCTCAAGAATCTCCTAATACAGTGTACCACTTTGCTAATTCACCCATTTTGCTCATCCATGTACCACAGTGTTTTTAGGACTTAGTGTTGAGTCTTAATCCATAGGCAATAGACTGAAGTCTATTGAAAAGAAAGGAGAAAGTGCTTGAGCATGTCCTGTGTGTTAATTTTTTAGGAAAGCTGGCAGTTAAGAAAAGGTGTGAGTGAGATTGGAGATGCAGCCGACTACGATGAAGAGCTGTATGTGGCTGGGAACATGGTTATCTGGAGCAAAGGGAGTAAAAGCCAGGCACTGGCCGTGTACAAAGCTTTCACAGTGGACAGCGCTGTCCAGCAGGTGAGCTCACTGAGTTTGTACAATTGATTAACTGTAGTGTAAGTGTTTTAGAAGAAAGGTTGTGTTTTAAATGTGTAACTAATGACAACAGCAGTGTAACATTCCCAGCAGTGTCCATTATGTCATGAAGTGAAGAAACTGGCAGGAAAATGAGATTCTCACTTTATCCATCATGACTGCGTCTCTGTAGCCCAGGCTGCCCTGGCACTTGAGGTCCTCCTGCCCAGCCTCCTGAGTGCTGGGATGACAGATGTGCACACCACACCTGGCTCAATCTTTATTTATATTGCTATTGTTTTTGTAATATTGAGGATTGAATTTAGGGCCTTCCATAGGCTAGGCAAACACTTTACACACACGCACACACAGCACTGAGATAAAGTATGTTAACAGTAGATGTGGACCTCGAGGTCTGTTATTGCCAGCAAAAAGTTATGTGACCTTAAGCCGGGCGGTGATGGCGCATACCTTTAATCCCAGCTCTCAGGAAGCAGAGGCAGGCGGATCTCTGTGAGTTTGAGGCCAGCCCGGTCTACAGACTACAGAGCTAGTTCCAGGACAGGCTCCAAAACTACACAGAGAAACCCTGTCTCGAAAAACCAACAAAACAAAAAAAGCCATAGAAAATACTTTAAAGTACATGATTTTATAATTCATTTGCAGATGTTGAGTACATTAAAGTTACTGGATTTATAGTGAAAGGAAATTCAGGCTAATTTGCTACTATTGTAGTGGTCGTTAGAACCAGTTTCTAAAAATTAATAGAAGAAATTAAGCACTTACTATTTTAGGAAGATAGGCAATTTATCTTTTAACTTTTTGAAGAATACCAACCCATGAGTGTAAAATAAATGGTAGAAGTAGAAATCAATTTGTAGCTTTCTAGTGTGCTAATCAGTTCAGGCAAGGTTATAGTGGTTATTAACACCATTGCAGAAAAGGATAATACCATGTCAGTAAGGTTTTACTTGCTAAATGTAAGTAAACAAATATAACTTTTCCTTGAGGTTTTTTTTGGTGTCTGGCTCAGCCAAGTGATTGAGTTCAGCGCAGCGTACAGTGGGGTAAAGGATATGTACTTCTAGCTAGCTGTAATACAGAAAAAAATATGTCTGCTATGTTTTCTTTTGAGAAATATTTAATGTGTGTTTGTTTAGAACTAGCTTCCAGTTTGTTCTTGAGGCCTAGGGGAATGAAATTACAAAGTAATATGAGATGCAGAATTACTAATATCATGAGATGAAGAATAGGTTGGAGGTTACTTGGCGGTAGCTGTGGCCAGAAAGATTGCTAGGCTGATGAAGGCACTTTTTGCTAAGCCCAACAATCTGAGTTGAATCTACAGGACCCACATGGTAGAAAGAGAGCACTGGCTCTTGCAAGTTGTTCTGTGACTGCTACAGGTGTGCTGTGGTGCACACAAAATCAATAATAAATGTACTACTAATGAAAAAGAACAAAGGTTGGGTGTGGTGGTGTCCATCCTTAATCACAGCACTCAGGAGGAAGAGGCTGGCAGATCTCTGTGAATTTGAGACCAGCCTGGGCTACATAGTAATTTCCAGGACAGCCAGGGTTCTGTAGAGAAACCCTGTTTCAAAAGATAAAAGTAAGGGCTGGAGAGATGGCTCAGTGGTTAAGAGAATTGCCTACTCTTCCAAAGGTCCTGAGTTCCATTCCTAGCAACCACATGGTGGCTCACAACCATCTGTAATGAGGTCTGATGCCCTCTTCTGGCCTGCAGGCATACACACAGACAGAATATTGTATATGTAATAAATAAATAAATATTAAAAAAAAGCTAAAGAAAAAAAATAAAAATAAAAAAGAATGGCTGATGACTAATAATTATGAAAGTTGGTGGATGGGAATGGGGATACATTTTGTGTACTTTGTGTATATATTTGAAAATTTCCATAATAAAAAGTTTAAAAGAAAAAATAGGAAATTAGTAACTAGATGAATCAAGAATTTGGAAATGTTTACATTCTGGTCTCTTTAAAAAAGTGAATCAGGGAGGAAAAGCCCTGAACGGTAGGCACTAAAGTGACTTCCTCAGATTCCTTTCTTTCTTGAACAGGGCTTTACTGTGTAGAGCTCAGGCTGTCCTCCATGAGCAATCCCCCTTCCTCTGCCTCTCTAGTGCTGTGTTTACAGGTAGGGGCAGTCAGTGCTAGGCCAAATGCAATATTTTTAAAACTTTTTGAAGGAACTTTTCAAGAAACTAGGTAAAAGATTTTTTTCCCCTTTTTTGGGGGGGTTTGGGGAGTTGGAAAAGTTAAAAGAAGGATTTACTGTTAATGATATTAGAGTATTATTTTTAATTTTAGTACTGAGAGGCAGACCAACCTGGTCTACATAGTGAGTTTCAGGCTAAGTAGGGCTACATAGTGAGACCCTTTCTCAGAAGCAAACAAACAGAAAGAGAACATCTTTATTAAATTAGATTTATTTAGTAGCATTTAATTTAAATTTTTTTAAATTAAAATTATTTAGTAGCATTTTATTATTTTAGTATTGTGGCAGACTATATGTTTTATGTTTTTATGTTTTAAACCATTTTTAAGTGTTCAATTTAGTGAATTAATAGAGATGCTTTCTAAACATTTTTAAAATATGAGCTTAGAGTATTGAGTCACTTTTAAACTCTCAGTTCTTGCTATTATAGGATGTAGGGTTTACACAGGCTGAGCTGATGTTTGAGCTTTAATTGCAAGACTTGTGTCAACTGAGTCTTACTGTTTTATTTTCCTTTCTCTTAAGATTTAATTATCATGGGCTGGAGAGATGGCTCAGTGGTTAAGAGCATTGCCTGCTCTTCTAAAGGTCCTGAGTTCAATTCCCAGCAACCACATGGTGGCTCACAACCATCTGTAATGAAGTCTGGTGCCCTCTTCTGGCCTGCAGGCATACACACAAACAGAATATTGTATACATAATAAGTAAATAAATAAATATTAAAAAAAAGATTTAATTATCATAAGTCATCTTAGAATATGTGGCATTAAGTATTCTAATCTTATTTTTTTGTTACTCTTGTTTGTTTCCATAGTATATAAGTATGACTGTATGAGTACATGCATGTATAAAATTACACCTATATTGAGCTGAGGAAATGTATTATGTAAATATCATTGTTACTGATGTTATTAGCTGGTAGATGATTATTTAGATGTAATTTTCTTAGACAAGCATTTTCTTTCTGTTTTAGGCATTGTGGTGTGACTTCATTACATCACAGGATAAGTCTGAAAAGGTCCACAGTAAGTGTCTTTATGATACCTTATTTCCTTTATTTTCAAATATTTATCTCACTGTATGATATATTTATAAGCAACTCTTAGTCATAGTAATTTAAATTAAAAGTTTTTCATTCTGCATTAATGAACTTTTGCTGTTTGGATTGAACTGTTTAGCAGGAAAATAACCCATAAATCTTGTACGCTTTCAGAGAGCCATGAAGTAGAGAAATGCATATGTATATTACAGAGCTCATGTATGAACATGCACAGCGTAGATGGGAAGGATTATATAGCTTCCTTACCATTTCAGGTAAACTTGAGTGTTTTTAAGTTTTCAGTGTATTCAAGAAAAGGGGATGGGCAGGAGAGATGGCTCAGGGGTTAAGAGCACCAGCTGCACATTCAGAGAACCTGGGTTCAATTCCTAGCACCCATGTGGCAGTTCACAACTGTCTGTAACTCCAAAATCTGACACCCTCACATATTCATGCAGGCAAAAACACCAGTGCACATAAAATAAATTAAAAAACCCCCACCTCTTTTTTTTTTTTTTTTTTTTAAAGAATCTGGGTGGTGGTGGCACATGCCTTTAATCCCAACACTTGGGAGACAGAAACAGGTGGATCTCTGTGAGTTCGAGGCCAGCCTGGGCTACAGAGTGAGTTCCAGGACAGCCAGGACTGTTAAACAGAGAAACCCTGTCTTGAAAAATCAAAAAACCCAAAACAACAACAGCAAAACCTTTTACGTGTGTTTTGTCAGAGATCAATCATGTGTAGCAGGGTTTTACAAAGATCTCTATGTGTTGAAGGTGTTAGTTTGTACTTAGTATTTTCAGTTCACTGTGTGTCTGTCCTTTTCACAGAAGTAGTGTTTTAGTGAAGCAAATTATAGTTTGAGATGTTGGTCAGTTTAATGATATTTAAGAAACTATTTTGGCTTTATTATAGTAGGTATATGAATAATATTGGCCTTTTTATTGCAACACATCATTTAATGATATCAGTGATATTAAAGTTTTATTACATTTTCAATAATAAATTTCACATAAATAAATTCAATAAAATTTCACACTGAGCTGTGGGTTTGATTTTTGTCTTAGAGCTGGTTGTTAAAAATCATAGATTTTGAAGTACTGTAGTTTGTGATCATGTTACTTCGAAAGCTCTCAGTAAATTCCATGAAAATTGAATGTTCAATCATGTTTACTGAAACCTTTTCTTAAACTTGTTCTCTTACTTCTGTTCCCGCACCCTCATGTTGATAGGTGGCAAATGTTTGGGCCACTAAATATGGTTTGCTGTTTGAACGAAGCAGTTCTTCACATGAGGTGCCTCCAAGTCTACCTAGGTATTCAATTTATTCTCTTCAGAATGTTACTTCTTGGGCTTTTTAGTGTTGATTCTGAAGTAAACTTGTTAACCTAAATGTTTGGGGTGGTAATGATGTCCATACTCACATACATACATACAGCATAAGAATTAAAACATTTTCATGCCAGTTTGAGCTCAGCTGTGACTACCATCCAACACTTCATTGCCCTGTGATCTTCGTACTAACCTTAATCCGTGGTGTAGTGACAGGGTTCGGTTACTAGCTCTTCCATGTCTTCACTGTACGACTGGACATATTGCCACTCTCCTTATTTGTTCCAGAAGTGGTACGCTTTACCTTTTGGCATCTGTGCAGACTCTCAGAGACGGCCTAGTGTCTGTTAAGTGCTCAGTCATGGTGGATACCTGCTGATGGTACACTCCTTGCCTCCCTGTAAACTGTGAACCTAGTGAGAGGAGGAGCGTACAGAACAAACACAGGGTGTGCAAAAGCAGGTGCTCCCTGCGTCAGCTGTTCGCAGATTTGAATCTCTGCTTTGATAGAAAGCCAGCACTTGCCCTCCACCTTCCTGAAAATTGAATGTCATTACTTGAAGTACTTTTTTCTTCTATTTAAAAATGTACCCTTTATGAACAAGGTAGGAAATTAAATTTCTTAACTACTATAGTCGCACTACCCCTAAGGGGGATAAGTGAATGACTGTCCTAAGCCTGTTGCTATTCTTTGGGTTCTGTCGTGTGATGGCTGCTATTTGTAGATTTCCCCCTAACAGTCATTTCTTTCTGTGTGTGAACGTATAGAGTTATTACAAGAAGATATGTTTAGATATATCTAAAACAGGATGCTATGATAGATGGTATTTGAAGAATTTAGAAGGTTCCTTTTTGAGATAGCTGCAACAGGGTGCTTGACAAGCCCTTGCGGGAGGAAGGATTTATTTTGCCCACAGTTCCAGCCCTTCCTTCAGGGAAGGCAGGGCACAGTTTGTGGTAGAAGGGCTGTGCAGCAGAAGCTCTGTGGATCTTGGCCTATCAGGAAGTGAAATGAGGGATTGGAAACAGGGCTGGGCATTAACTTTCAGACCCTATTTTCTCAAAGGCTCTAGTAGCCCCCCATAGCAGTGCTACAAGTTGGGGACCATGTGTTCAAACATGAGCCTATGAGGGCTCTCACGTTCAAGTGGTAACAGTAGATTTCTAGTTGCTTGTTCAGCACCAGGGTGCACATAGTTATCTTGTTGGTGACTGTTTGTGCTTTGTTTGTTGCTAGAGAACCTTTGCCTACTATGTTCAGCATGCTGCACCCACTGGATGAAATAACTCCACTTGTTTGTAAATCTGGAAGTAAGTGTACTTTCGTACTCTTTTATATAAGCTCTGTTTTAATATCAAGGGAGGGAGAAAAATAAAAATGAATTTTATTTAAAGAGTGACTTGTTTTATCAGAAGATAATTTAAGCATGTTATAAAATAACTTTTATTATGAAAGCAATTCATTGAAAGCGAAAACAACAGTTGTCTCAGTAAAACTAAAGACATAAGTCAGTGAGGGATACTGATGTTTGTTAACTTGCCTTAGGTAACTGTCCTTTAAAATTAAGAAAACGAATGATACTTGGATGAACTAAAGTTTTTTTTTTTTTTGTTTTTGTTTTTTTTTGAGAATAAAAACATAGGTCCTGATTACTGGGCACATTTTAGTGTTTCACTTTTTTTGTTCAAGTTTGTTCAAGTTTACTGACGATCCTCACTTTGAATGTATCTAAAGTATTCCTGTATGCTTGGCTTTAAATTTAGGCTTTACCAAGCACGAATCGACACCTACAAATAGTAAAGGTGGAGGACTGGGAGGACATTTGTAGTCTTTGGTCATTTTACTGGTGCATTCCAAAGGCCGCTGAGGTTTTATCTCCTGCAGCATGAGTGGGATAGCCATGGCTAAATCAAACCTCCGTCCTGTTTCTTTAAACATACCAGCTCTCTTTTTAAAGGTTGTAGCAAATGACATAAAAGATTGTTGATCATGTAGGATGTTACGAATAATATGTAAAACTAAACACAGCAGAATTCTGATTTGATAGAAATGGGTGGTGGTGGTAAGTACCTATAATCCCAGCAACTTCTGAGACGGAGGCAGGAAGATTGCTTGAGACTAGCACTTTGGGGGCAGCATGGGCAACACAGTGAAGCTATTGTCTATTTCTCGCTCTTAAAAGATTTTATTATTGTTAATTTTACTTATGTATATGTGTATATCCATGTGTGGGTTTGTGCACGTGTGTTCAGATACCCACAGAGACCAGAAGATAGAATTGAATCCTTGGAGCTGGAGTTACAGGTTGTTGTGAGCTGCCTGACATGGGTATTAGAAAATGAACTTGGGTCTTCTGCAAGAGCAGCAAGCATTCTTAATGGCTGAGCCATCTCCAGCCCCATTCCTCCTCCTCCTAAAAACAAAAGCCCTCTAATTTTAGTGGAATGGTGGCAGTCTGAAATAGTTTTATTATTTCTTTTGTTTGTTTGTTTTTCTTTCTTTTTTTTTTTTTTGGAGACAGGATCCCACTGTGTAGACCTGTCTGTGCTGGAACTCTTTGTGTAGATCCGGCTAGCCTCAGATTCACAGAGATCTGTGTGCCACTGCCTCCCAAATGCTGGGATTACAGGTGTATGTCACCATGCCTGGCTAGTTTTATTATTTCTTTATAAAATAATTTCTATTTCTGCAGAATAATCATGTTTTTTCCATTTCCCAGTATTTTAACTGAGAAGGAAATTGTTAAGGATATGGAAAGTGATCTGTAGTGCTATAGAAAAATAACTGAACTCAGCAGGAAAAACTTTTCATTTTTAATAAGTAAAACACATCATTCACTCCTTCTGAGTTAATTATTGGAGGGCAGAATAAAGCCAGTCAGCCAGCCAGTCAATCAGACTTTTCTAATGATTGTAATCTTGAAAGAAATTGATGATTGGTTGGACGTGGTGGTGTGGGCCTTTAATCCCAGCACTTGGGAAGCAGAGGCAGGTGGATCTCTGTGAGTTTGAGGCCAGCCTGGTGTACCTAGTTCCAGGCAGGACAGCCAGAGCCTCATAATGAAACCCTGTCTCAAACAAACAACTCCCCTGCCCTCCCAAAAAAAGATGAATAAGAGGTTGACTGTTGAAGGAGTCCTGGACCCTTTGCCTCTGGCTGATGAGATTAATGATGAATCAGGATGAATCTTCAACTTTTGAGTTATATGTGTGTCCAAGACCAACTAGTCATTCTGTCATGTTTAGTGCATTTTGACACTCTGGAAATTTAAAATCCATTGTCAGTATGTAACATTGAGTGGGTTTTGTGCTTTAACTGGCTTGGTTCCCTTTCCTTTTAGGAACAATGAGAACTTTCTTCATAAAGAATTCTTAAAGGTAAAGCTACTGTTCTATACCTGGTCATTTCCATTTTGATTTTCAGGTCTTTTTGGCTCATCACGGGTGCAGTATGTTGTAGATCCTGCAGTGAAGATTGTGTTCCTCAGTATCGACCCCTCCATTGTAATGACCTATGATGCTGTTCAGAATGTGCATTCCGTGTGGACTCTGCGGAGAGTAAAGCCAGAGGTGAGGGTGACTGAGGCTGCTTCCTCTGTGAGGGAGAGTGAATCCTGAACATGTGTACAGTTTTGAGGTCAATTGAGTTTCCATTCACTTTGTATTCTAATTGTTCATTTTTCCCATTCACTTTGACTTAAGGAGGAGAATGCTGTTTTAAAGTTCCCTGAGCAGGCAGGGAATGCAGCCACTAGCAGCTCCCTCACAGCACATCTCCGAAGCCTCTCCAAAGGCGAATCCCCCGTGCCTTCCCCTTTCCAGAATTACTCCTCCATTCACAGCCAGAGTCGCTCTGCCTCATCTCTGAGCCTGCACTCCCGCTCGCCTTCCATCTCCAACATGGCGGCTCTCAGGTGGGCCTTTCCTTGTTCTAAACAAATATTCCAAGCACTGGATACCTGCTGTTTTAGTTCCCTTATGTTTTGAAGAATTTATGGCTTCTGTTGATGACTAGTTTTTAGGGGAACTAGGCATAAACCCAATTATGGTCTTTTTACAACTTCCGCATCTACAGTGCCCCAGTAGTTTGTGTTTGAGTTGTGTTTAGAAGCTGCTTATGATGGAATGCTATAAAATTGCATTGTTTCTCCCATGATGGGGCAGCACTTAGATGACATTTAATTCTACAAATACTTTGCTAGTTTTTTTTTTTTTCTTTTTTTGATTTTTCGAGACAGGGTTTCTCTGTGGTTTTGGAGCCTGTCCTGGAACTAGCTTTGTAGACCAGGCTGGTCTCGAACTCAGAGAGATCCGCCTGCCTCTGCCTCCCGAGTGCTGGGATTAAAGGCGTGCGCCACCACCGCCCGGCTAGTTTTTTTTTTTTTTTTTAAACCTTATTTATTTATTTTGGTTTTTAAGACCGGGTTTCTTTGTGCCTGGAACTTACTCTGTAGACCAGCCTGGCCTTGAACTCTAAGAGATCAGCCTTGAACTCTGCCTCCCAAATGCTGGGAACAAAGGCACGTGCCACCACTGTCTGACTAGTTTGTACACATCTGAAAGTACAGTGGCATACTTTGAATAATGTACGCTATTTATTTTTTGAAGGAGAAAATAGATTTGTTTTCAGTTCTAAGTGATTTTTTTTTTTTTTAAAGACAGAATCTTTCTGTGTAGCCTTGGCTGTCTTTGAACTAAGTATGTAGATCAGGCTGGCCTCAAACTCACAGAGATCTGCCTGTCTGTCCCCTAAGTGCTGGGATTAAAGGCGTGATCCTCTATGCCTGTCTTGAGTACATTTTAACATGAGTTGTAAATAAAGATTTAGGCTCTCATAAAGCACATTAGGACAAATCTTTTAAGTAGTTGTTCATTTCTGAAAGTGTCTATGTAACTAGGATTGTACCATGAGTGTTTCTCTTGTATAGGATTTAAGATGAATTATTGGCACGTGTTAAGAATCCAAGTTGCTCCTGGTGATGCCCTCTCTCTGGTTATTTTGCAGCCGTGCTCATTCCCCTGCCTTAGGGGTGCACTCTTTCTCAGGGGTGCAAAGATTCAACCTTTCAAGCCATAATCAGTCGCCAAAGAGACACAGCGTTTCTCATTCTCCAGGTGGCAGTTTTAATGACTCATTTTTGGCACCAGAAACGGAGCCTATTATTCCTGAGCTGTGCATTGACCACTTGTGGACTGAAACACTTCCTAATACAAGGTTTGGTGGATATAATTTTATATTCAAAGAAAGATATTGCTAACGTTTTGGAAAATGTTTGGTGTTATGCCTGGTGGTATAACTAAGTGGTAGAGTATTTGCCAAATATGTGTGAAATGTTTTAATATGTCCTTTGACATTAGTTATGGTATCAACACATAAAGTATATAGAGATACATATTTATACTATCTTAATTTTAGAAGAAATTATTGATACTAAAGTGATCCTAAAAATGCTTTTCCATTGAATATTTCTTTAATATAGTAATCTTTGAGAATTGAGGTGTTTGAAGTTTTAGGACAAATCCCTATTTCTGTAATCGTAATCAGGGTTCTATTGCTGTGAAAAGACACCAAGACTAAGGCAGCACTTATAAAGGAAAGCATTTACCTTGGGGCCGTGCTCATGGTTTCAGATGGTAGTTCATCATCATGTTGATTGGAAGCAGACAGGCATGTCGTTGGACCAGTAGCTGAGAGCTGTACATCTTGATCCACAGGTATCAGGCAGAGCAAGAGTGAGACACTGGGTCTGGAGTGGGCTTTTGAAACCTTAAAGCTCACCCAGTGACACACCTCCTTCCACAAGGCCACACCTCCTAATTCTCCCCTGACAGCTTATCAACTGGGGGTTAAGCATATAAGTTTGAGCCTGTGGGGGCCAATCTCATTTAAACACCAAATGTAGCTGCGGTTTTGAGGGAATGTTATCTTTATGTCAGGTGTTAGCTCTACTTTTTGAGAAATAAATGACCCTAATCTTTTTATAATCTCATTGATAATTTGTTAATTAATCCAGCCACATGCCAGTGTGTGTGCTAATTAACATGGCCGTTTAGTGATTGTCGCACATATAGCTAAAGATAGTGATACTGGAATGCTTGCTGTTCTGCAGGTAGGCCTTGGGGAAGATGGGCACAGCAGGCAGCTCTGATCCAAAGACTCCTACTTTGCTTTGACAGGCTGAGAATGAAGAGGCTTGAGTGATTGCTTTTCAGGTCTGCTTATGTGTGCATAGTAAACAGAAACAGCAGAACAAGTTGCAGGTGTGACTGAGGCAAGAGGGGTGGACTGGGATTTAAAGAGTATATCAGGCTCCTGGGGTCCCTAGAGGGCCAGTGGATAAATTCACAGGGATTCTGTTAATTCTGGAGTTGTTAAATGGTGGTGGGTATGTGTAGTGTGTAGGCCTTTTCCTGGGCAGGTGTTTTGAACATTCATTCAATGTTCACATTAGTCTGTCACCTCCTAACAAGTTAAAACTGAGTTGTGTAGAAGGCTGGGGACTCAGGGTTTGGGAGGTGGGTGATGAGAGCTGCTATAGAGAGAGAGAGGAAGTCAGGTGGAGGAGCAGACATTTCGAGAAGAGAGTAGTGTTAGTATTTCCGGGTGCTGTTTGGCCCTGACTGTTACCTCAGAGGAAGGTATATCCACAATGGTCACTCCCCTTAGGCTTGAGGGATGGTAGGGAAGCGTGGAACAAAAGGTAAATAGGAGGTGAGGAAGCAAGAATCAGTTTATTGAAGGTTTTCAGTAGCTAGCTGCCTAGGGATGTTTGCCTTCGCTGAACTATGTAATGAGAAGTAGTCTTGTGAATTTCATCCAAATTTGTTGCTTTAAAAGATAAGAGTGGGTTTTTTACCTAGCCACACAACACTTTTACTTCTGACCGAAGGACTCCTCCCCCTTGTTTTTCCCCCCTCGTGGTGTGTGTGTTTGTGTGTACAGTTACCTGAAATATACATGTGTAGGTCTGGACTTGACATTAGGAGTCTTCCTTGGTTCTCCTATCTTCCATACCTTATTCACTGAGGCAAGGTCTCTCAATTGAGTCCAGAGTTCACTGATGACTAGTCCTCCTTGCCATCCTGTTCCTGGGACCCCTTGTCTCTGCTTTCTGAGTTGCTGGGTTTATACTAGGACTGCCATTTAGTTGGGTTCTGGAAATTCACACCCCAGTCCTTATGTTTTGTGACAAGTGCTTTCGAGTTCTACCACCTTCCTAGGCCTCTACTTAACCCTTTAGATCATCCCTTTTAGGTCACAGTTCGCCTTCTAAGATGAGGGTACTTGAGTAGGGCTGTACTCAAGTAAAGAGAACTTTGCACCTATAGAGAAAGGAAATGGTGGATAAAGAGGGAGTCTGAGAGTAGAGCAGTTTTAGAAGTGATGGTTGAACACATCCACATCCACATGGAGTTTTTGTGTCGTGGTCATTGCTTGATCCAGGAAGTAGTCTACTTTTTTGTAAAATGTTTCCAAAGATTAATTTACTGAAGTAGATCTTTGAACTAATACTGACAGTTTATTAATGTGTCTACTTTAGAGAGAAAAACGCTCATGCCACCAAGGTATTTATAACAACTGACCTATGTGGACAGAAGTTCTTGTGCTTTTTAGTGGAGGCTCAGCTTCAGTTACGGTAAGTATTTCTATTTCCCATTATCTCTGAAGTTCAGCACTGATTCCTACTCTCCCTTTCTATTTTTCTTGTAGTAAGTGTACAATTAAATGATTTTTAGTAAATTTGTAGAGGTGTGTAGCCACCAAGGCCCACAGTCCAGATTTAAACATTTCCATCACTAAGGAGGGACCCTCTGCCATTTGCAAGTAGTCTTTCCCTGCTCCCAGCCTCAGGCAGTCATTTTAGGGGCTTTCTGCCTTGTATATTAGTCATTTTTTTTTTTAAATGTTGTTATTATTTTGTTGCCCTGGCTAGCTTGAAACTTAGAGATCTGCTTGCCTCTGCCTCCCAAGTTCTGGAATTAAAGGCATTTGTCTACATCCTGTCCTATAAAAGTGGTTTTGGTGGTGGTGGTTTCAGTTTCATTTTTCTTTTTTCTTTTCTTCTGGTGATCTACTTTGTCACTTTTCATAGTGACTTTTAGGATCCACTCTGTTAGGACATGTATGAGAATTTCCTCAGCATTATTGTACAGTACTCATTTTATAGATAAGTCACATTTGCCTGCTTACCAGTTGATGGATAGTTTATCTCATGTAGCCCTGGATGTCCTGAAACTCTGATGTAGACCAAGCTGACTTTGAACATATAGAGATCCACCTGCCTCTGCCTCCCTCTGGGATAAAAGGCATGTGGTACGATGCCTACTGTTCACTTTTGACCACTGTGAATTAGGAACCTGTGGGCAAATATCTTTGTATGGGCATATGTAATTTTGCTTTTCCTGGGTACATACCCAGCAGTGGAATTGTTGGAATGACTGGTAAATCATGTTGAATATTTCAAGAAATTGGCCAGTTGATTTCCAAATAGGCTGTGCAGTTTTGCATTTCTTCCTCCAATGTGTGAAGGTTCGTGTCTCTTTATCCTGAAGTTTTGAATGTAGCATCTTTGATTACAGCCACCCTAATGAAGTGTCAAGTGGTTTCTATTTATATTTTCCTGATGCTTTTTTTTTTAAGAATTATTTTCTGTGTATGTTTTGTCTGCATGTATGTCTATGTACTGTGTGTGTGCATGCCTGGTGCCCACAAAGGTTCTTGGTAGAAGAACACATCGGATCCCCTGAAACTGGAGTTACTAATTGTTGTGAGCTGATGTGTTGGTATTGGGAATCAAGTGTGGTTGTCTGGAAGAACAGTCAGTGCTCTTAACCTCTAGCCATCTCTCCAACCCCTTCCTGATGCTTTTGATATTGATCATTTTCTCATGTGGCTACTAGCACACACTTACTTCATGGGAGAAATGTCTGTTCACATGTTTTGTCTACTCATTTCCCTTTTCATTTGAAAACAACTATAGCTTACAGCAAGTTGCAAAATTGTAGTGAGGTCCTTCTATATCATGAAGTCTTTTTTAATTTAAGCCTTTCTTTTTTTAATCATTGCTTTGTATGCATCGTGTGTGTGTGTCTCTGTCCTATGACATTCAAGTGGAGGTCTAAGGGCACGTTTGAGGGTATCTCTGTTCTCTTCTTCACTGTATGGTCCTAGGGATTACACCCAGGCTGTCGGGCTTTACCTGCTGAGCCTTCTAGCTCTCTGGCCCCATGTGGTTTTTTTGTTCTCTCAGTGGTAACATCTTATGTTACAGCAGCATGTTTTTAAAGTCAGGAAACTGGTATCAGTATGACCTACACATCTTTCTTTGGTTTTACATGTATTCATTCGTGTGTGTATATTTATATGGATTCATGCGTTTTTCTTCTATCTGCAGATTGGTGTAATCGTTGTAACAGTTAAAGATAGAAAATAACTTTTGCCTCCCTGAAGATTTTCCATTTGCTGCTCTTCTGTATCCATCCCATGCTCTCTGTCCTCTTGCTCCCTGCCTGTAGTGAACACAGACCTATTTCCGCATTTATTTTTTGAGACCGAGTCTCTATGTAGCCCTCGCTGTCCTGGACCTTGCTCTGTAGACCAGGCTGGCCTTGAACTCCCAGAAATCCACCCGACTCCGTCTCTGAGTGCTGAAAATAAAGGCGTGCGCCACCACTGCCTGGCCCAGATAACACCCTTAAGACTTAGTTTCTTTCTGTTTTTACTTTCATATTTAGTTGTGTAAAGTTTCAAGAGAGTAACGACAAGACCCAGCTCATCTTTGGCTCTGTCACCAATGTCCATGCAAAAGATGCAGCCCCAGTGGAGGTAAATGCACGTCGAATCATTATGCTTTACTAGATTTTTCTGAAAATTTAATTAATTTACTCAAACTACAAGAGATTTTGTTTTTTGTTTTCAGAAGATAGACACCATGTTGGTACTAGAAGGCAATGGGAACTTGGTGCTGTACACAGGAGTGGTTCGGGTACGTCAAAAGCAGTGCTTTGTGCTTTTGGTAGAACTGCCTGCATCATTTACAGTTGGCTCTGATTCTTCTATGCAGTTTGGCAGAAGATTTTTGTTAAGTGGGAAATGAAGCCAATTGTGGAGGCCAGTCCTAATTTGGACGAGGACTCCCTGTTAAATGCATTGATACTATGCACCTGTCTCCACCAAATTGGAACCTTTATTGAGAGTAGGTAGAGCCTTAAAACCCAGTTTTGGAATGAAAGATGAGCAGCTTTGGGAAGCACCAACATTGTAACATTTTATTATGTTAAATGTTATGTAAGTTGGTTGTAGCTTCCTTTTGGAACTTTTGTCAAGTTTAAAAATATATACTTAAGCTGGACGTGGTCGCGCACGCCTGTAATCCCAGCACGTGGAAGGCAGAGGCAGGTGGATTTCTGGATTCGAGGCCAGACTGGTCTACATAGTGAGTTCCAGGACAGCCAGGGCTACATAGTGAGACCCTGTTTCAAAAAAAACAAAAACAAAAACCCTACAATATAAGTATTATAAATATATTATATGTTTATAAGTATTATATACTTAGTTTGAGGAATAATGAAGAAAATGTATTGCCAGTAACTTTTTTTTATTAAATTCCTGTTTTTGAGGCAGAGTCTCAATAAAAGCATAGGTCTTGGGAATCTCCTGCCTTAATCCCCTTATACCTGGCCTGCCAGTAGCTTTATTCTGTTCTCTGAATGCAGTCGCCACCTGCTTCCCCAACACACTACCCTGGCTTTCCTGTAAACGCCTCTTGATTTTGTTAGCTTTGCACTTACGTGTGTGTCATTGAAGAGCAGTTTGTCTATCTTTCCTTGTTTTGGAGTTTTTATAAAAATTGTATTTTATATAAATACGACTCTTGAGATGGAATGTTATATACTATCTTGACTATATTAACATCTCTTTCCAGCTTTTCTGTAAAAAAGTTTCCTGAATCAAACAAAAGAATTATACTGAGGTATTCATAGTTGGCTGTTCTAATTTGAGAAGTTGTTAAATATGTGTTGTGTTTAATGGTCATGAACTTCAGTATATATAAAGACTATTTGTTCATGTGACTAAGCATTTAACTTAAGGATATGATCTATTCACTACTCTCCCCTCCTCCATATTGCTCAAAGGTGGGGAAAGTTTTTATTCCTGGACTTCCGGCTCCTTCCCTGACAATGTCCAACATGATGCCTCGGCCTAGTACACCCCTAGATGGTATAACTACTCCCAAGCCTCTTGGTAAACTTCTTGGATCAATGGATGAGGTAAGAAGTAGATTAGATCTTGTCAACTGTTAATCATGTTTTAAAGAAGTTTGGTCAAGTTTTAGTTCTTTCCATGTTTAACTTAATTTAGTTAGTATTCACAGATAGGCGTTTCCAAGCACAAGTGATGGTGACTACATTCTTTTTGCTGTGAGAAGTGCTCTTTGAAGATTTGGAGAAGTGAAAATGGTTCCTTTTTTTCTATCTAGAGATCTCACAATTTACCCAGATGTAGTAGATGTGTGGTCTGCATAAGAAATCATAATTTAATGTAGTCTGTCAAGAGTTGTAAGTGAGGAATAGAAACTGCTACTATTTCATCCACTGAACGGGGTACACATTGCTGGGAGGCATGTCATTCCTGGCCTGAACTTTGAGGGTAAGAAGGGTAAATAGAAGTAGGTATTCAGGGTAAGGGCATGAACACAGGAGAAGAGAGTGCAAAAGACTTCCTGAGGATGACCTCAAACTTGCTGTGAAAGGTCAGATAACCTTGAGCTCTTGCTTCTCCTTCTCAGTGTTGGGACTTATATAGATATGCAGAGAGTGGCATAATAGAATAACAACAACAACAACAACAACAATAATTATTCTTATGTTAACATTTCTACATGCTAGGCACTGTCTGCTTTATCAGTATTTTCCTAATTAAGGCTTTATAACAACTTTACTGATTGGAAGATACTTGGTCCTCACTTTATAGTTGGATACACAGTGGTTCAAAGTTAGTTGTCCAAAGCTAGAAGCTAGTAAGTGATAACACTGGAATTGCCACTCCTATCACTGTGTTCTTGAAGGAAGATGGGTGACATGACAGTGTTCTGAGTGCAGTTCTCCTGGCTTCTTTGTAAGTTTGTGAGAAGTTTCTCCTATCAGGGTTTGTTCCAAGTATGTTTTTCTTCAGGTTCAAGATAGGAAGGCCAAGTGCAGCCTGTGTCAATATAGGAGAGAAAAAGAGGGTCTCAGTGTGGTGTATGCTGCAAAGGAAGAGGGTAATGTACCAGTCCTGAAGAGGTGTCAGTGACAGTGTGTCGGCCAGCACCGTGTGCTCTTGGAGGCTGTTGGGTGCCACTGGGAAATGAGACTGAGTTCTGTGAGCAACTTAGGCTGGTACTGGTGCCTACCAGGCTGGAAAGAAAGCCTGGAGACAAGTAGTATGCATTTGAGGGGTGTCACAATGTAGCTATGTATGTATGTATGTAGTCAGTCAGTTGCTTTTTGTAGTTTTCTGTGAAGAGTTTGGCCTATTGCAGGTTCATTGTTCCTGGAGCAGAATGATTGGAATCATCAAAGCATATGCAAAAGTATAGTCCTTATCTTTAATTCTCAAATAGTCCTTCATCTGTGTTGTGACTTTTTGTAGGTGGTTCTGTTGTCTCCAGTTCCAGAACTGAGGGATTCTTCAACAAAACTTAATGATTCTCTCTACAATGAGGATTGCACTTTCCAGCAGCTTGGAACTTTCATTCATTCTGTGCGAGACCCTGTTCATAACAGAGTCACTCTAGTAAGTCCTTCTGCAGAGGTGGGCGAGCTGGCCGACGGCTGTTTGTCTGAACACTTCACATTGGGCAGGGTGTAAACTTATGTATGAAAATGAACATTTCTAGTGATTTTAAAGCATTTATTATTGTGTATATGATGTGTGTATGTGGGGTGCGCATACATGTTGTAGTCAGAGGACAACTTTGTGAAGTTGGTTCTCTCCTTCCACCTTCATGTGGGTTGAATGCAAGTTACCAGGCTTTCAAGATAATTGTTTTTTACCTGCTGAGCTGCTTTGCCTTTCTTTATCTCATAATTTTTAAAATATACTATCATTTTGTACTGTTTAATTCTGCTTCTATTTTCTGAGATTTCTTTACTAAACATTTACTGAAGCCCACCCCTCACTGAGTTGCTGTGGGGAGTCAATAGTTTCTAGGGTTTGGGGGTAGGGAAGTGACCATGTTAAAAGCACATCATCTGAAATTCTCAAGTAATTAGTAAAACTATTTAATGATTTTATTTAAAACAAGCATGTTTAATCCATTAATTGCACATCAATGCTTTTATCTTTTGGGTGAAAGTTACCTTTTGATAATGGTGTCTCGTAGTGTTTGTATAAAAAGTGGACACTTGGCTAGGCATGGTGGCACATGCTTTTAGTCCCAGCATTTGGGAGGAAGTGGACACTTTATTAAAACAAAGATTTTGAAAGTGTTTTGCAAAAATGCATATTTGTTTAGAAACATTCATTTCTGATTGAAAAGTGTAGTTTTTTATTTTATTGGATTTTGCTTCAACAGACATATGATGGTATAAATTACTACATATGTGTGTGTGTGTGTGTGTGTGTGTTTTGTTTTTTTAAAACAATAAACTGTTGTTTTGTTTTGTTTTGTTTTCCTTGTTTCCATTCTTTCACTAGGAACTGAGTAATGGCTCCATGGTTAGGATCACTATCCCTGAAGTGGCTACCTCGGAATTAGGTATGTGTGAGTCAGAATATACTCTGTGTGTTCCCAGTTAGATGTATGACACAGTTGGTGGAGACAGTTTTCTGTTTTTTTTTTTTTAAGGAGTTATTTATGTATGTGCCCGCATGTATGTCTGTGCAGCACATGAGTGCAGTGCCCATGGAGGCCAGCAGAGGGCATTAGATTGCCTTTAACTAGAGTGGTGGGTGGTTGTGAGTTGCTGTATGAGTGCTAGAAATTGAACCCGGGTTCTCTACAAGAGAAGCTGGGGTTCTTCACTGCTAAGTTATCTCTTCAGCCCAGTTTCTGCTTGTAGTGGTTCCTCTTTCTCTTAATTTATTAAGAATTCTTATTTTGTTTTCAGCTATGACATACTTGCCTCCTTGGTTTTTCTATGATTCGTTGCCATTTGCTTCTAGTCTTTGCAGTGTTTGTGTTCATAAAGCAGATTGGTGAGGAAAAGGTTGTGCTGCAAAAGATGGAGTCAGTGACAGTGATGGAGGGGAGGGAATGAGAATGAAAACTGCTACTATCTGGAACCATTTATTTCCGATCGCAGATCCTTGCTGTTTATAGCAGGCAGTACCCTTGGCTCTCTCAATTGTAGTTGGTGAGGGAAGCCACTTTAGAAACTAAAAGTTGCAGTTTTGGTTGACAGGAGTGTTCACTCGTTCAGAGCATCTTGAGTGCCCCCTAAGCATTCCTATGGGTAGGTGCCTGTGTGGATGTTGTATCTGAAGGCTTTAATCAGTGGCTTGTGTAAATTTATTGATGGAGAAGTTTTTCACAGAGGAAACTTTATTATTCAAGCTCAGACAATTTGAGAATGAAAAATGAATAGTTATTGGAGCAGTGGTTGTAAATCAAGATTATCTCGGGTGAACTGGGCTATATACACACCTATTTCTAACCCAGAATTAGGGATCTGACAGCTGTAGAGTTGGTTTAAAGTGATTGACATTAATGAGGTAATGTTTGTGCTCGATTGGCTCCTTAATGACAGTCTTTTCCTGGTGGCTGGCCTTGACATAGTAGTCATTTAAACCTTTGCATTTGAAAGGAGGAAAGAATATATGCATAGGAAACATACTGAAGTCAGTGTTTGCTTTTAATAGTACAAACGTGTCTGCAAGCAATTAAGTTCATCCTGCCAAAAGAAATAGCAGTTCAGATGCTCGTCAAGTGGTACAATGTCCACAGTGCTCCAGGAGGCCCCAGTTACCACTCAGAATGGAGTTTATTTGTCATCTGTCTCTTGAACATGATGGGTTATAACACAGATCGCTTAGCATGGACCCGAAGTGTAAGTAAATACAGTTGCTCTCTTCATTTGTCCTTTGTAAATGTAGTGCTTGCATAACTACGTAACACGAGAGACTGACACAGTAACAGGTATGTTGCATTTATGATTTTGGAATAGTACTGTGGCGTATTGTATTTATACTTCATAATTCAAATACTCAATATGCTTTGAGTCTTTATAATGTGTTAAAGCACATTTTACTTTCTTTTCTTTTATTAAATTAATGTCTTATTGTATATGTAGCCCAGGCTGGGCTTTAATTCACCATATTCCTGACTTTGCCTCCCAGATGCTGGGATTGCAGTCACGTGTTACTAATGCCTGAGTTTGGACTGTTTCTCAGTTCATCTTTGTAAAATGACTACAAATAGCACTCTTGGTCTTGTAGATGGTGAGTCCGAGAGCTCATAGACCTGTGCTTTGCTCATTTAAAGTTCTTTAGTCTGAGAACACTGTTAGCAATGTAAAGCTGTGTGCCTCTCAGGCCTCCGAGTCATTTTTCTGCAGGACCTGCATAGGTGATGCCTTCAGTGTGGGTGTGGTCATTCCTTTGGAGAGCACTCTCCAGACAGCCATGCTTGGGACTGTGAAGCAGTCACTACAGAATATACTTAGCCTTTGTCCCCAAAACGCAGGTGTACTTACCTATGTGTTTTGGCTTCATGCTAGTAACTCCATTAGAAAAAATAAAAATAAAAAAAAAACAAACAAAAACAGAAACCCTTTTTCCTCTTCATTATGAAAGTATATTTTCTCACTGAGGAGGATTTGGAAAACAGGAAGGAGCAAGCAATTGTCCCTCATTCCCAAGAATAGCTGTTGTAGACACTTTTAATGGTGCCTTTTACATAAACATGATACTGATATAAATTTTGTATGTCCTTAAAATTGTTTCATAGAACCTTTTTATTTTTATCATATTTAAGCAAATAGCTAAGGCCATGTTACTTTGACACATTAAACTTAGGTCATGTTTTTTAGATCAAAGCTTGGGACAGAATGGTCCTCATTAGCCAGCAGGGTTCATGGTGCTTATTTTCTCTTTGTCCAGATTTTATTTTTTCTTTCCATTTTCATAACATGGCAGAGAGTGCTACTGACTCTCTCTTATGACTTATGTGATTTTTCGTGTTCTTTTGTTTGGATATAATTTGTGTCATTAGAGAAGTAGAAAAATAAATGACCATTACTCTACCTATGTGTCCAGGCACTGTACTGAATGCTTTACACACACAATTTCACTCCGTGGTGACTAAGAAGAGATTTGCACCACGTGTGCTGGTGAAGAGTGTTAGTGACTTTATTCCGTTTCTCTAATTAGCAGAACTGACACCTGAATCCTTAAACTGTCTAATTAACAATAATAATGTCATGATTTTGTTGTCTGCTTTGTGGTTGTTTTTCAGTCCGACTTTGAAGGATCACTTTCCCCAGTCATTGCGCCCAAAAAAGCGAGGCCTTCTGGTACTGGATCTGATGATGTAAGCATTCATTGTTATTTCTTGCTAATGTTACTGATTTGTGGAGACTTGTACAGATGTCCCATGTCTGATATTCCTATTAATTGTCAGTTTTCCCAGTATCTTTTGCTTTTTTTTAATTTTACTTCTGAGTATATTATTTTGAAGGATAAAATCTGTTACATTTTCTGTCATTAATTTTGTCTTTGATCATCATACAAAAATTAGTATAAATGTATATGTTTTTACATAATTTCAGTGTAGACTTGTGGATATTTATTGGTAATTGATCAGCTATTTGCCAGCATTTACCCCTTTTTTGCTTTATATTTTTGCTTTTTCAAGACAGGGTTTCTCTGTGTATTCCTGGCTGTCCTGGAACTCGCTCTGTAGATGGAGTTTAAGGCTGGCCTTAAACTCAGAGATCCTCCTGCCTCTCCTTCTCAAGTGCTGGGATTAAAGGCTGTGCCATCATTGCCCAGCAGCATTTACCCTTTTATGTAGCATTTCTCTGCTTTACACTTAAATACCTCAGATTCCATGGTATATTCGGAAGTGGTCCAGAGCACAGAACCTTTCCATGTTGTCTCTTTGTAATCAACCCTTTCCCCCTTATCTTTAATCAAGCACTGACTTGAATTCTTTGACCATTCGTTAGTTGTGTCTGTCGTAGGTGAAATAGTACAGTCTGTATTCTGTACATAAGGTTTCTGTCATTCAGCATAATGTACTGAAGATGATCCAGGTGATGGAAGTATCAGTTGTATGTTCTTTTTATTACCAAGAGTTATGACTATATTGTAGTTTGCTTTGCTCTCCTGTAGGGCAGTAGACTGTTTCCAGGTGTTTTCTTTTGTGTTTTAATGAAGGTGCCTATGGAGTTCAGAGATACCAGATCCCCTGTAGTTGAAGTTCCAAGTGGTTGTAAACTACCTGCTGTGGGTGCTGGGAACCAAACTCAGGTCCTTTGCCAAAGTAGTATGTACTCTTAGCTGCTGAACATCTGCAGCCCCTTGCGGTTATTTTAAAATGACATTTCCATCTAGCACTATCTAATTATTGTCCATTTTATTCTTCTTAGGACTGGGAATACTTACTGAATTCAGACTACCATCACAACGTTGAGTCTCATCTTCTGAACAAATCTTTATGTTTGACTGCTTTGGAAAGTTCAAGGGTGAAGGAAGAAGATTTTTCACAGAACCTTAGTCTGGATTCTTCAACTCTCCTCTTTCCTCACATCCCTGCAATTTTCTTTGTTCTTCACCTTGTCTATGAAGAACTCAAGTTGAATACTCTAATGGGAGAAGGGATTTGTTCCCTTGTTGACCTGCTTGTTCAGTTAGCAAGGTAGATGTTGTTAGGACACTGCGTTAGGTCCTCAGAGGGCTTGCTTTCTGTGATATGTCAGGAGCCTCGTTAGAAAAACTCCAGTCTCCCTTCTCAGTTCAAGTTGGTATTTCAGCCTCTTGATTAAGATGATAGCACGTTCTCTGACTTCTGTGATCTTGGGGATTCTGAAATACTTTTGAAACTTGGCATGCTTATTTGCTGATTCATCCCCTCATGACGGGTCATTGTCATCACAAATGCCATTTTGTATTTAATTAATGGCTTTCGGAAGATACAGAGCACCTGCCCCTATAGCTATGGCTGACCTAAAACTTTAGATGTTCCTGCCTCATTTTTTCAAATTTTAGGATTTCCAGATGTGTGCTACCATGTCCTATATTTTCCATACATATGTTATTTATTCTTCAAAACTTGTAGTAGCCAGGAGTAGTGGCATATGCCTGTAATCCTAGTGCTTGGAAGACTGCTGGAAATACTGTGTCTGAGAGAAACTGTTCTATCTGGTGTGGGGGAGCAAAACAGCACAAAAAATTAAGAAGCCTCAGAGTGACTTAGATATGTCTCTGTTTTCTGGAAGAAAATACTGTGGTCTGTAGAGATTACTTGCTGCAGATCCTATAGAGATTACTTGCCGCAGATCACACAGCTAGTAAACAACAGGAAGGAGCAAGATCATGCTATTTCTCTAGTTTGACCTTAATGAAGTTTGTCTAGACAGACGCTTGCATGTGACACCAGATACACATGAAAATACTCCAGATCTGAAAGCTTTCTCATGAACATGCTTTTTAAGTTGAAAAGTTAACTGACTGGGGGCTGCTGTAACACCTTTGTGTATGCTCTTACTGTTATAGGGACTTAAAATTAGAGGCTTACATGGATCACTACTACAGAGATTACCCAACTCTAGTCAGAACTACTGGGCAAGTGTGTACGATTGATCAAGGTGAGTGTTGACACCCCTGCAGGTCTTCTGAGTAGTGCATAGGTGTTTGTTGTGTCTCGGAGAAGAGCAGAGGATAGATGTCTTTTTAGCCAGGTGGTTTTAAATTGGTAGCATTTGACCACTGAGTTGAAGTAAGCCATAAGTTATTTAGTGTGTAGTTAAAACACTACCTATTCCAAAGCTTAAACAGCCTCTGGTGTCATAAACGCTATATCCTTGACCTGTGCTGTTCAGTAGAGGCCATGGCTATAGATTTACTTAACTTTAATTACTGTAAAAGTTTAGTTCCTCAGTGCACTAGCCACATTTAAGATACCCAGTAGCCATACAAGGCTAGTAGTTACCACTTATCCCACTTATCTCCACTGCTCTAGTCTAGGCTTGACCTGAAGGGACTCAAAGAGCAGAGCTTAGTCTTTCATGTCCCTTTGTTTTCTCACCTTTATAGAACTAGGCAAAAAAAAAAAAAAGTTAGATTCTTTAAAAACTATTTTTTAAAATGTACTTTTATATGTATTTTGTGTGTGTGGCGGTGCATACATGATGAATATGGGTGTGCATGTGCCATTACATATATGTGGAATTTAGAGAACAACTTTTTGGAGTCAGTTCTCTCCTTCCACCATGTAGGACCCAGGGATTGAACTCAGGTTATCAGGCTTGGTGGCAGGTGCCTTTTACTGAGCCATCTGTCCAACTCTTGGTATATGGTTTGTAAATGATATTGCTGAATTTCTATTTATAATGGAGTAAAATAGAAATAATTTAAATTTATAAATAATTAGCTATCTACTGTGACAAAAATATTCATTTTGGATAATAATTGAAAATATAATTCTTATAATTTGAAAGGACAAGTACTGTGACCTTGTTTTTGTCTTATATATTTGTGTGCCTTTCTAAACATTTATGTATTCTAAAGGTCAATCGGGATTTCTGCATCATCCCTCGTTTTTTACGTCTGAGCCGCCAAGTATTTATCAGTGGGTGAGTTCTTGTCTGAAGGGCGAAGGAATGCCACCCTATCCTTACCTCCCCGGGGTCTGCGAAAGGAGCAGGCTCGTGGTCTTGGTATGTATCTGGAGTATTGACTATCTTACTTAGTTTTATTTTTCTTTAAATTGTCATATATAGAACAAACAGCATGCACATGTACACATATAAAGTAAAATTACAGTGTTTCTCTCCCCTCATACTGTTCTATAAATTTCAGCAGATGAATAATTTCATGATTACCATTTTAATTAGAATACTGAACGTTTGTAGCACCTCTCTCCAAAATTACTCTTTTGAGATTTATCCAAGTTGTCATTCGTGCTACCAGATCCTGGCTTCTGTTGCTGACAGTCCACTGCATTGCTGCCCCTGTAGTTGGCTTATGTGATAGCTGGGTTGGTTCCAGGTTTTAGCAATTATAAATAGAGATACTCTAAAGGTCACACACAGACTTTAATGTCAACATAAGTTTTCATTTCCATAGGGTGAGAACAGAGGATTGGGACTGATGGCTATATGCTAAGTATATACCTGTCTTTACAGAAATCGCCAACTGCTTTCCCGAGTATCTGTTTGTTCCATATTGCCTCCAGCAGTGTTAAGAGAGGTTGCCTAGAATTCTTGTCAGTTATTTGATACTTGTCTTTCCTTCTTGGTTTTTGTCAATCTGGTTGCTCTGTAGTATGTCTTACTGTGCTTTTTAATTGCATTTCCTAGTGACTATGATTTTGTTTAGAGGTTTCTGCTGAGTAGTTTTTGTCAAAATATGGTTTGCTGCTGCTGTCTCTTCCTTTGACTTTGTGTTGTTGTTCTGCCAAGAAAGCCTTTCTCTCTTGTTTTTTTCTCGTAGCATCTTACCATGTCGACCAGTTCAAGGTGGTCTTGAACTGGTGATCTTGCCTCAGCATCCCAACTGCTATGGTCCTAGGACAACACTACACCCCTGACTAACCATGCCTTGAGAATATTTTCCTCTTTGGCTGGCTAGCTCTTTGAACACTGGTTGTTGATACGACCATCCCTTTTTTGCATTTGTGCTTTTGTCAAGTCTGTTTGACCACTTCTTTTCCAGGTTTGAACTTTGGGGAAACCTGGTTCATTGAGCTATGTGTTCTCCACTTTGTCTTATTTATGGTAGTTTCATAGTAAACCTTAAAATTGGTTTGTGGTACTCTTCTTTCCATTATTATTCTCTTTAGAAGTTGTCTTAACAGTTTTATAACCTTTGCCTATTTAATAGTCAGTTGACCTATGGTTATTGAAAGTCCTGTTGAAATATTTTTCAAAGAAATATATTTTTAGAATGTTGTTTATCTTGAATAGTTAATACAAACCTCAAACTTGTGTATGGAACCAGAGGGCATTAGTAAAGTTGAGTTCCTTGGCATATATGCTTCTGTTTCTTGATGCTGAGGCAGTATATGTATAGGCCTGTTAGGGATCTTTCCAGAAATACAAGAGATTCCTACTGCTTTTATCCCCTCTTATCAAAGTTAGAAATCTGTAAACATTCTTTCTTCTTACCCTTTTCTGTTCTGTTCTTCTTCGTGTTGAACAGGGCTTTCTCAGTCTTCCATGGCTCTAGGTAGGCAGTTCTGTGTTTTTTTTTCCCCTTAATTCACATATGTAATCATCACCACCATCTTTTCTCCAAAATTTTTTCATTACCCCATCTTAGTTTAGTTTCCTGTTGCTGTGATTAAACACCTGAGAAAAGCAACTTAGGGGAGGAAGGGCTTATTTTCACAAGTCCAGCTTTAGTCCATCACTGAGCAGAGGTCAACATGGCAGGAAATTGCAGCAGCTAGTCAGTCACATCATATCCACAGTCAAGAGCAGAAGCCAGTGAATTCATGCCTAAGTCCTTAGTTTGTGCTCTCATTTTATATGGTCTGGGATCCTCTGCCTAGGAAATGGTTCCACCGGAAATTACTTCAGTTAACATAATCAAGGTATTCCTCAGGCATTCTCAGAGGCTAACCTTAATCTTGACAATTACAAGTATGCCCAAAAGGCTTGCCTCCTAGGCGTTTAGTTGTCTGTAATGCAGTCATGGACCATGCACCATTCAACAGTAATTTCCTATTCCTCTTCCCTTTTAGCCCTGGTAACTTCTGTTCTGTGAATTTCCCAAATTTATTTACCTCTTATTGGAATACTGCTATAGGTCTTTGGGGTTTTGAGTTATTTATGGAGATACTTATAAATAAGGGTATTGTTGCCTCAGTGGGTGAAGTATGGCTAGTTTGGATCCTCAGAATTGATGTAATGTTTGATGCCATGATATACATCTGTAATCTCAGAGGGCCTCCAGGGAAATGGGAGGCAGAGATGGCAGGATTCCTCAGAAGCTTGCAGGCCCTGATTTACACAACAGTGACTAATAGCCCCTGCTTGGGAGGCTGAAGACATGGCCCAGTGATTAAGATCTTTTGGCTGCTCTTCTAGAGGACCCATCACTAAAAGACCCCTGCCACAAACAAGGTGGATGACAACAGCCAGCATATGAGTTTGTCCTCTGGCGTTTATATGTGTCCTGTGCCATGCACATGTCCATACTCACATACGAACACTCAACAGGAATATGCATGCATACATACACCAACATACACTGTACAGAAATAATTTTTTTGTGTGTGATCTTAATTCATTTGAATTGGTTTTCATTTTTTTTGGGGGGGGGTATTGTTTTTGAGTTAATTTGTTTCTAAACAAACTGTAGGCTAAATGAGATTTTTGAATAGCTACTACTGTTAGGTACTGTTAGGATATGACTAGGTATCTGTAAGGATAACTAAAACCATGGTTGAGTATTGAGCAGATGAAACTTTGACTTTGCTAATGGTAATAAAAGAATGCTCCAAAATTTAAAAAATTTTAACATATATTTACCATAACTCAAAGCAAGTTTATATTCTCTGGTATGAAATATATTGGCTACACAAAGACCTGCATGTAAAGGCATGAATCAGTTTTCTTATAACCTATGCATGCTGGGAATAACCTGTGTGTCCCTTAATTTAAAAAGGCTTTTTTGAAGTCATTAATTTTATTTAGCTTGTGTGGGTGTTTTGCTTGCAAGTATACTTACTGTGTACCATGTGCATTGCAGTGCCCATGGAGGCTAGAAGCCCAGGAACTGGATTTACAGATAGGACAGATATTTGAGAGGCATGATGTAGGTGCTGGGAATTAAACCTGGGTCCCCTGGAGGAGCAACCAGCGATCTTAATCACTGAGCCATCTCTTCAGCCCATGTTCTTCAATTCCCGAGTAGATGTACTAAGTTGACATCTCTGTAATAGATACTACTCAGCAGTGGAGAGGAACAAACTAGGGGTTGTGGCATAAAGAAGATAAATCTCATGCCTGTGCTATGTTGTACAGTAGAACTGGAAAGACTCTGCTGTGCCATCCCATATACATCTTGTAGGACAGATGGGCTGGGGGCAGGAGAGCAGGCGAGTTATTTCTAACGTTTGTGGAGAAGGGTTGCTGACAGAACACAAGGGGGTGTGTGAGGCACAATACAGCTTTTCTGTATTGAGAGTGATAGTAGTCACGTGGTTATATAATGTTGTCCAGCCTTGTAGTGTTGGACCCCTAAATGTATGAGTCTTTCTTTTGTGCTTTCTTTCTTCCTTCACTTCAGTTAATAAGAACAGGTTCATCTGGGTGTGGGGTCACATTTCTTGTAATCCCAGCACTAGGGAATCAAAGGCAGGAGGCTCAGTAGTTCAAGGCCAGCCTCAGATCTTTGGGGCATTTGATGTCACTCTGGGCTACATGACAGCCTGTTTCATAAAAATAACCAAAACAACTGAATTAAAAGTAAAGCAACAACAAAAACAAGTAACAGATTCCTTTTTTTCCTCTTCAGAGCATTGCACTCTATATCCTTGGTGATGAGAGTTGTGTTTCTGATGAAGCCTCGCAGTATTTATCCAAAGTAACTTTAAGTAAGTTGTAAAGTTGTGTTTCTGATGAAGCCTCGCAGTATTTATCCAAAGTAACTTTAAGTAAGTTGTAAAGTTGTGTTTCTGATGAAGCCTTGCAGTATTTATCTAAAGTAACCTTAAGTAAGTTGTTACAATGTTTGGGTATCCCAAGTAGAATGTTAAAATGTTCATTAGTGTTTGTCTTAGAGACCCATCTTATTCTTTATAATACTGTTCAGTCTACAACCACAACTGAATTTCAGATTCCAGGTTACTTAAAACCTGACACACCTGGCTGCTATTCTCAGTGTGGCTATATAGGACTATGCTAGTCTAAAGGAAACAGCTGTCTGTTGCAGCTTGCCACAGTACTACTTGATTTTTTTTATTTTGAAGGAGTTTTTGGTTAATGAATTTTTATCTATAGATATCTTCTGTATGTTATTTGCCAGAATGTCTATCAAAATAAAGTGTCCATCTGTTGCCTTTCAGCCCCCCAAAAGTCACAAGCAGAACAGGAAGAAAACAGGTAATTTGTTTGAGATTGTGCTTTCATATTTAAAATTGGTAGCAATGTTAGATGTTTGTGTTTAATGTTTTATTTTATTCTCGGTAGGTTTACTTTCCGGCATTCTGCTTCAGTTTCCAGTCTAGCAGAAAGATTGGTTATCTGGATGACCGATGTAGGTAAGAGCTGCTTTGTCATCTTGGGACTGTGTTGTCATGACTTCCCTGCTCTCCCTGGACTGGGGAAGCATGAGGAGAGAGGCGAGGCTCTGGTTGTCTGTAAAGGCTGAAGATGAGCATCCACAACTTCCTGTAGAAGAGTAGATGGGACATCAGCCTTTTATATCTTGAGGCATTAGAAATCTTTATTTTCATTCCCTGTGGATCGGTTGAGGCAATAACTCTAGCTTTGTAAATTGGTCTCAGATGAAAAACTTTAGTTAATGTACATCTAAATATGAAGCCATTCTGAGACTTACATTTAGATATCAGAAATGGGCACTTTGGCATCATTTAAGGTCAATCGTGTAAGCGCTTCAGAGAGTGCTCTCAAATGCACTGTGATGAGTGAACGCTTAGCTAACAAGAAGGGAGGAAAATTCTTTGTTTCTTGCTCCAAACCTTTTAAACCTTTGCTCCTAGGTTTAAAAATGTAGTAAAATTATTTGTTTTTTTTAAAAAAAAAAACTGGGAAAAACAACAACAACGACAAAAAGCAAAGTTACCCATGCCAGAAGTGGTGGCACATGCCTTAATCACAGCAATCAGGAGCTGAGCTTGAGGCCAGCCTTGCCTACAGAGTGAATTCCAGGCTAACTAGGATTCTGTTCCTTGCTGGGGGAAAAAGTTACTGAAATGAGTATATGACAAAAATTGAGACCTCTCCAAATTTAGTATCTTAAATAGTACTTCAGTGATGTCCAGGTGTTTGTTATTTTACCCAGAGTATGTTCTCATGAAGGTTTTCAGTTCTTTCTGTGTGACTTGTTAGAATATAACAATAGTTGTCTTACAGTGTACATATAGGATGAGTAAATGAAAAATATTAGATGAATTCTGTCCATTATATAAAATTTAGTAAAAGTTATTCCTATATAAGGAAATATTTTTGCTTCAGTAATTGATCAACTTTTATATCATGAATAATGGATAATATTGTGAAGTTTAGAATGTTTCTAGAAAAGAAATAGAATAGAAATTTGAATGGTCTGAGCATTACAAGTATTTTAAATAAAAATATATTGAATATTGTATGAATATATTCATACAAAAGAGTGTGTGAAATGTAAATATAGAGGGTAATAATAAAGTAAATTTGGTTTTTGGTCGCCTGCCTTTAAAACAGAATGTGACCAGTGCAAGTGCAGCTAGTACTTACCTGGCTGCTGCCATTCACCTACCTATATATGACCTTTGCCTTGCTTTTCTTCATTAGTCATCTTTATATTTTTCTTAGGAATGTATATTTGAGTGTTTTGTCTATGTACATACAAGTGCCACGTTCACCTGAGCTGATTCATATAGTTTTAAGTCATTTATTGAAGACAGACAGTGGGACTTGCCTTCCTCCCCTTTCTAGTCACCATAATGAAACAAAGTTCCTACTTGATATTTTTATTCTTATATCTTGGTGCACATGTGCGCAGTGTTCTTTGTGACCAGAGGAGTGGAGATATCTTTTCTTGCCAACTCCTAGGGTAATGGTACCAGTTTAAAGCACTGTTAGTTATGGTGAGAATTACTGCTGTTTCCTGTCCTCGTCCGCTCTTAGTGATGGTGGACTTCAGTGTTTGTTGACCCACTAGTTTGAGGATGATTAGGAAAGTGGCGGATCTAACTGAAAAGCGTCTCTTCCTTTGTTTTCCTCCAAGGTTTCACTTTAAGAGATTTGGAGACTCTTCCCTTTGGGATTGCTCTTCCCATCAGGGATGCAATCTATCACTGTCGGGAGCAGCCTGATTCAGACTGGTCGGAAGCTGTCTGCCTCTTGATTGGACGGCAGGATCTTTCTAAGCAGGCTTGTGAAGGAAACTTACCCAGAGGCAAATCTGTGAGTATCAACACAGCAAATTCAGTTTAGCCTCAGATAACGTCAGAGTGGAACTGCCTTCTTTTCCCTTTGAACCTTTACATTATGGTAACTGTGCTCACAGTTTGCCTTTTGTAAGTCAGATTTAAAATTGAACACGGGAGCTGTGGACTTAGTGACTGCCCTGTGTTGCCTGTACTTTACTCTGCCCAGAGTCAGGACAGGTACAGAGTCAGCAAGCCACTGGCCATGCCTGTTCAGCTACTTGTACCTGTGGAAGCAGCAGTTAACTACACAGGAAAACCGGGAGCCTCTGTACCCTCAATTTGGCTGACTGCAATAATAATTGTGTTCTCATTCATATTTTTTAAGAGATTGGATTCTTGGATTTAGCCTTTTAAATAGGTATAAATATATTTGCACAATCTCTGAGTAACAGGAAGATTGAAGCCTGATGAGGAAGAATATGTTCTCCACTAGGGTTAGTTATTTAGGTGCCTTAAAGACTCTCCTTCTTTACACCCGTTTCAGAGTGGGTTCTAAGAAGCCCAGAAATGAGCAACATTTTTTGTTTGTTTTTGAGATAGGATCTCTCTGTAGACCAGGCAGACAGGCATAAGGCTCACAGAGATCTGTGTGACATCTCTGAGCACACCGTGGGAACCAGGCTTGTTCTGCTAGCCTATGAGCCAGCACATCAGTGTAGGTGTGCTGTAACTGTGGCTCTCCTAACCCAACAGTTGCCTGCCTCGGACTTAAGCTAGAATCAGTTCCCACAGGAGTCTAATCTCAAATTTATGTATAAATCGCAACTTTAGTTAACTTTGTATTTGTCCTGTTTTAAATATAAATACATTCTTGCCAGGCGGTGGTGGCGCACGCCTTTAATCCCAGCACTCGGGAGGCAGAGGCAGGCGGATCTCTGTGAGTTCGAGACCAGCCTGGTCTACAAGAGCTAGTTCCAGGACAGGCTCCAAAACCACAGAGAAACCCTGTCTCGAAAAACCAAAAAAAAAAAAAAAAAAAAAAAAAAAAAAATATATATATATATATATATATATATATATATATATATATATAAAAATCCATTCTTATTTTCTTGACCAAGAAAATCCAGGTGTGGGAGTACATTGCTTGTAATCAGAACTTGGAAGACTGAGCCAGGAGAGTCACCATGAGTTCAAAAGTAGCCTGAAATACATAGTGAGTCCCTGTCCCCAAAACACAACACACAGATGCACACAAAGATCTTTGGCATTTACATTTCTTTTGCTGCTGGGAGCTATTCAGCTCATAAACACTATAAATATTAATCTATAAATTATTTAAACAGCAGCCTAGGCAAGTTTATCTAAATTTTGTTTCTTCAGTTATTTGAGGCTAAACTTCAACTTGATTCCGCTGTTTGGGTTTATGTTCTCTAGCTAAGCTATCCATTAAAATACAGTTATATTGTCTAATGATGACAGACATTCTGAGAAATGTGTCCTTAGGCAATTCCTCCTTAGGCAATTCTGATGTGCAAGCATGGCACTAGGCATAGATCCTATCTTAGGGAAGCACTGTCATGTGTGTGGGCTTTTGGAGGAAGTGCTGTGTAGAGCATGGTTATAGTTTGTTTTTGGTAGTTATTCCATAGGAACCAAAGTGAGTTTTTATCTGGTTATATATTTTTCCCAAGCTAGCTTTGTTTCCTCCACACTAATAAGAAAACTCGAGCATTTTAATTAGGACCTAATCTTTCACTGGAGTGTAGAACTTTGCTTGAGAGTAGAATACTGTAGAAGATTGTGTTGTGGTCAGACTGAAGCACGGGGCTGGGAAGCCCTGCCTGAGAGCACAGGTGAGGTTCGCAGGTAGGTTCCCTTTCTAAAAGGTGTAGAAATGGAAAGTGAAAACCAGTCACAATCCAAGCCTTTTGCTGCTTCCGTCAGCCTTTGCTGGTGTGTCCTTCCAGGTTTTATTCCTCTGCTTCCGTTAATGTTGAAGTGGGCATCAGTCCTGCACTAATAGTGAGTTCCTCATCTTCTGTTTGGAGTAACTGGCTTCCCTAAAGAAAAAAAAATTAGCAAATGGATTGTTTTAGTAGATTCAACTCCCTGATTATAACTCTAAATATAAACTCATTTCTTCAGTTTAATGAAGAATGACTCCAGTGCAGTACTCTGAAGATTTGTAGGAACTACATACTTAGGTAGGCTCAGGGTGATAATGGGATCAGGAGGGTGTGACCAGCTTGGGTGACAGACTGCTCTCCCAGTGCGGAAGAGCTGAGCTTGTATGACAGTGTTGAGTGACTTCAGGAAGCCTGCCAGTTTTGCTTACCTCTAGTTTAGAGTTGTGTTCCATTAACCCGTTTGCCCTCTCAGTCTAGACACACAACTTTCTTTCAAATCACTACAGTAAAGTCTGTTATGCAGGTGCTCTCATCAGATGTGTCTTCAGGAACCGAGGCTGAGGAGGAAGACGATGGCATGAATGACCTAAATCATGAGGTTATGTCATTAATATGGAGTGAAGATCTACGGGTGCAGGATGTGCGAAGACTGCTTCAGAGTGCCCAGCCTGTCCGTGTCAATGTGGTGCAGTACCCGGAACTCAGTGACCATGAGTTCATTGAAGAGAAAGAAAACAGGTAAAATGGTTCATCTCCTGTCCAGTGTTACGCTTGAAACTAGTTTGTTTGTTTGTTTTCCTTTAATATTTTAACTTTTCTTTTTTAAACATTTATTTGTATTTGTGTGGTGTGTATGCACTGCAGTGAGTGTGTGGAGGTCAGAGGAGTTGGTTGGTTCTTTCTACTAGGCTTCAGGAGAATCCAGCTTAGACCATTTGGCTCAGTGGCAAGTGCTTTTTCTCACTAAGCCATCTTACCAGCTTGGTTAGTTTTAAATGTTAACTTGCTATAATCTAGAATTACCTGGGAAGAGAATTTAATTTGAGAAATTACTTAGATCAGGTTGGTCTGTGGGAGACTGTCTTGCTAGGAGGACCAACCTTGACTGGGCAGCACAGTTTCATCGGCTGAGCCCTGGACTGTCTAGGAATGAAGAGAGCTACCTGAGCAAGAGGCAGACCACTGAGCAGCATGGGTGTATTCTCTCTTCTGCTCTTGCTTGTGGCTATGAAATGGATCAGATTCTGCACTGTGACTTCCTTTTCTATAATGAACTGTAACCTGGGGTTTTAAGCCAAATAAACTCTTTCCTATCAAAGATTGCCTTTGGTCAAGGTCGTTTATCACAGCCATAGAAATGAAATTATAATACTTACCGAATTTTTGTTGTTGTTATTTCTTTTTGCATTTAAGATACTTAAAAGCTAAAGCAAAGCAACTTACTTGAAGTTAAAAAATCTACCTTTTATTTATTTTAATTTTACATCCAACTTCAGTAAGCCATATATGTTTTAAAAATATTTTTGGTTTTTGAGGATTATAATTATAGCCTCATTCTCATGAAATATAACAGCATACTTCAGAAAAGGCCAATCTAAGACAATCAGAGAATTTGTCAGCGAAGCATACACTAGACCTGTGTTGTAATACAGGAGGAGATTTTGAGGTACTTGTTTGCTAATTTTTAGTGTGGTTTAAACTCACACCAGTTGTATTGGTTACTTTTTTGTTGCTGTGAAGAACTCTTTGACATAACTTAGAAGCATAGTTTCAGGAGGTGTGAGGCAGGTGCTGTACTGGCTCCATCTGTGGGGACAGGAGTTTTAGGTGACGGACTCAGCTCTCCTTCCGCTTTCCTTTATTCCCGTCCTCCCCTGGCATCAAACTTTCTTAGTTGCTTATCTGGCCTTGATTTCACTCTAGCACAGGCAGAGCTTGTGTTGGGGCTCCTGATTTGAGGAGCTGGAATTACAGGTGTGTGAACCAGCCTAGCTTCTCTTTCTTACACGGTTTCAAGGACAGTCATCACTCATGCTTCACTACAGTCTCCCAAAAATCCCAATTTCTCTCTATTTCCTCACCACATGGACTCATGTTAGGACTTGAAATTGAGGATAGAGCACATAGTTAGGAATGGGGATCTTGTAGTAAGGCTTAACACCATTCCTGCATGAACTTGGATACTTAACCTGTTATTTTTTGAGTTGCCTCAGCTGTAATAGACATGAGTGCCTCATCACTTGTTGGCATCAGGTCAGTTCTTTTACATAACACTTAAAATATTTCATAGTGCATAGAAAAGCTGCTGTAGTCAGCCATTACTAACAGTGTGTTGATTCTTTTTTTCTCTTTAGTCTTTTAGTATAGTGGTTTTCAACTTTCCTAGTGCTGTAATCCTTTAATACAGTTCTTCATCTTGTAGTGACTCCCAACCATAGTTATTTTTGTTGCTACTTCATAACTAGTTTTGCTACTATTATGAATTGTAATGTAAATATTTGATATGCAGCAGGTTGTAGGTGAGCCCTGTGAAAGGGGTTATGACCACAGGTTGAAAACCACTTGTTTTTATTATATCTGAAATCAGAATATATCTTTTGGTCAGTCGATGCTAGTCTAATTGGAGGCCTTTTCTTGGTGCTTGATGGGATTGTTAAGCATCCTGTTAGTGGCGTTATGCATCCAGGGGCTACAGCATTGGTGCTATTGCTTTATTTTATGACTTTTTCAAGTGGAATTGGATTATGTATAAAGCTTTTACTAAAACATTGTGTGGGATCCAGCTTCATGGATTTCAATTTCCTGCATCCCTAGTTATTGTACTGTTACTGTTCCAAGGAATGTTAGGACATTGGAATGTTAGAATCCGCTGCAATGAGCTAGAGAAGCAGTGCATTTATGTAATTAGGGGGAAACCACCTAGTGAATATTTTTGTCTGCAGAATGTCAGCCCTGCGTTAGCCTCTGAAGGGCCTTTCTTTAATCTCAAATGCAATGTTTAAAAACTTTTCTTAAGTAGGAATGCCTACTTCCAAATTTTCTGTTAGTTTTTGTCCCAGGGGCCTATATAGAGTAAATTCAATACAGAAACTAGCATGGGGTGTTAATTTTCCAGTGTGAGCAACAGAAGCCATTTTAACTGAGCATACCTGGTGTGTAGATCTGGTGATGGTTTACTTCCTCTCTTTGTGTACAACACACAGAGGAAGTGGTGTTTTTGAGGCAGTGTTGGTATAAAGAATGAGGAGATCTGTGTGTGCTGATGCAGCTCAGCTGAAAGTAACACTAAGAGGAACCACCCAAATAATGTACTTTCTTTACACCAGGTTAGCATCAGTCAGAGTAGAATGTAGTTAGTTGTATTTTCTACCTCAGGAGATTGGGTCTCATTCAAAGCAAATAAGGCAATGTGTGTCTGCTTCAGCATCCTGAAGATGTAAGAGTTGTGAGAGGAATTGCTGATCCTCCCATGTCTGGAGCGGAGGTGCTTGATGAGGACCTGATTGTGTATCTTAGTCCCTCCTGTTAGAGCCCAACTGTGAACTCTCTTAACAGTGTGTGTGGTTTGTGTTTATTACAGACTGCTCCAGTTGTGTCAGCGAACTATGGCCCTTCCAGTAGGGCGAGGAATGTTTACCTTGTTTTCATATCATCCTGTTCCAACAGAGCCATTGCCTATTCCTAAATTAAATTTGACAGGTATGCTAAATTCTGGACTCATCAACAAAGGACCAAGGTCATACATGGGTGGAGGCTTTTTTTTTTTTTTTGAGACAGGGTTTCTCTGGCTTTGGAGCCTGTCCTGGAATTAGCACTTGTAGACCAAGTTGGTCTCAAACTCACAGAGATCCGCCTGCCTGTTTCCTGAGTGCTGGGTTTAAAGGCATGCGCCACCACTGCCTGCTGACGAGTGGGGTTCTTTTGTATTATTTTTGTTAAAACCAAAGCAGTGCTTCTATGCTCTCATTGATTTTAAGCATTAATAGCACTATAGTGGTTATTGATGCTCATATAGCAAATTGTATTATTTACTTTTCTCTTGGCTATGACAAAATACTATGTCAAGCTATTTAGGGGAAGAGTCACTTTGGGTCATGGTTTATAGGAATATAGTCCATGATTTCAAGGAAAACATGAGGACAGGAACAGCTATGGACTGGAGCTTCCGCAAATTCGAACAATTAGGAAACACACAGTAGGGGCTATAAACCTCAAACCAGCTTTCAGTGGCTCATTTCCTTCAATACTTCCCACACCTCGCCAAATACCACCATCTTCTGGAATAGTGCCACCAGCTGGAAGCCAAAAAGTAGATGAAATATCGCCTATTACTAATTTTGTGTTTTATTGTGATTATTTTAAAAAATAAAAAGTTCAGAGAGTTATTGTTGATAAAAACAAAACAATTTAGGACTGGGTGTAGTGGTTCATACCTTTAATCCCAGCACTTAGGAGGTAGAGTTCCAGACTTGCCGGGTTACACAGTAAGATCCTGTTCATTTTATTTTGTTTTTAAATGTGAAACTTGAATTTTAAATAATCTTTAAGTCTAATTTGTACAATCTTTAGGTTGTCTTGAGACACTCATTCTTCTGTGTGGCTAGAGGATACAAATCAGCCACTGTTCATCTACTCAGAATTTGTTTTCAGTGATGTTTTAGACACCTTTAAAATGGTGTTTTCAAAGCTCTAAGGATTTTGGTAGCTTTGTACAATAATCAGTATTTATTTTGAATGTCTATCATGTTGCCATCTTGGCACAGTGGACAAACATCACATCAATCTCAAAATGTCCATTGATGAATTGAGCTAACATAAACCATTTATAATATAGCTATGGTCAGGTCTGTGTACACAATATGTATCAAAACTCAAAGGAATTAGAAAAATCCAGACTGAACTTATAACATCACAAACATTTAATTTATATCTCTTGTGGACCATCACAGTAGAGAATGTTCCTTTCTAATTCACTAGGTACTTCTCTATAAACAGAGACTTTCTGTTTTGACACATTGTCTTGCTGAGTAGCTCAGGCTAACCTCAAAATTTCTATCCTCCTTCCTTGGCCTCTTAAATGTCAGGATTAGCATTTTAAATGAAATGTTGTATATGTGTGTATGTGTGTATGCATGTGTTGGTGCCTGTGGAGGTGAAAGAACAGTGGTAGATCCCCTGTAGTTGTAGTTACAGGTGGGTGTGTCACCTGATGTGGATGCTGGGAACCAAACTCTAGGTCTTCTTAAAGAACAGGAAGTGGTCCTGACAGTGCAACCATCTCTCCTGCTCCACATTTGGCATTTTTAATATCTAACATGTGTCATATATTTACAGATATCTATGTGCTGAGGCATAGACATATGAATCAGTTAGGACAGATTTCTGAAGGTCCTTGTCTCTTTAAATTTACTTTGTTTTAATATCTAGACAACAGTATAGAAGTGAATGTTTGAAATGAATACCAGTGTCCTCAGTCATCTGTTGGAATTCATTATTCATGCAGTTAAACTGTGATGTGGATCTCCAATAGTTTCATTGTGCCTCCCTGCAGTTGCAAATACTGCAGAACAGTGAGAACCCTGACCAGATAATCAGTTATTTTATTGTGTGTTAGCAAAATGGACTCTGAAATATTTTAAACCGTACGGTTTGTTGGTTGGTTTTGGAGACAGAGTTATGTAACCCCGAACACTGACTGACCTGGAATGTATGTCGACCAGGTTGGGTTCCAATTCACAGAGTTCCACCTGCCTTTGCTCTGGGGTCCTGGGATTATATGACCATGGTAATTACATATTATCATGCCCAGCCGATGTATGTATGCATGTGTGTGTGTGTTTATGTGTGTGTGTGTGTATTTTATGTGTATGTATGTACCTGGGTGTGTGTATATGTACCATGTGTGAGAAGGAGTCAGAAGAGGCATTGGATCTCCAGGGAACAGAGTTACAGAGGGTTTTGGGTGCTGGGAACTGAACCTGGGTCCTCTGCAAGAGAAACAAGTGCTCTTAACAGTAGAGCAAACTCTCCAACCCCCAGTAGGGGTTTTGAATGCAGTAAAGGCAACCTTATTTCAAAGACCTGAGTTAATTTTGTAAATGTTCTTAATTCACTTCTTTCTCTACTTAGGGCGAGCCCCTCCACGAAACACAACTGTAGATCTTAATAGTGGGAACATTGATGTGCCTCCCAATATGACAAGCTGGGCCAGCTTCCATAATGGTGTGGCTGCTGGCCTGAAGATAGCCCCTGCCTCCCAGATAGACTCAGCTTGGATTGTTTACAACAAGCCAAAGCATGCGGAGTTAGCCAATGAGTACGCCGGATTTCTCATGGCCCTTGGTCTGAATGGTCATCTTACCAAGCTGGCTACTCTCAATATCCATGACTACTTAACTAAGGTGAGAACCTGTCATCCTATGTCTGGCATTGTGCAACACATACCTACTGCCCTACCTCCTAATTGTTAACTTGCCCTGTTTCATTCCTGCACCTCTAAGTATGTTCATCTCTTAGCAGGAAGCAGTCTTCCTGAAGTGTAAATCAGTGTGTGACCCTTGCTCAGAACCATTTACTCATCCCCCATTGCTGTCTGCATCTGGGGCCTGTGTGGTCCTGCTCACTTCTGCAGCCATTGCACTGCTTTTCCATTGTTTTTCCTTTGAGTGTCCCACTTTCTGCCACTTTTCTGGCTGATATGTTCAGGTTCTTTAGAGATAGCTAATAATTCTCTAGCTCCTCCTAATACAAAATTATTAGTCTCCTTTAAGTAGTCTCCTATACTCTGTATTTGTAAACCAATTTTAGTTGTGGGTGCCTGTGTTTTAATTTAGCATGTTTCCCCCATTAGAACACTATAAGAGCTTGTACCACATGTGTTTAGTTTGCCACTATACTCAGTGCCTGCCATGTAAAGGTGCTTATTGAAAGCAGCAGGCGTTGTTTTATCTAAAACTCTTTGTGGGGCTGGGGAGATGGCTTAGTTAGTAAAGTCCTTGCCATGCAAATATGAAGACTTGAGTTTGGTTCTCAGCACTCAAATAACAAAGCCAGCTGTGGTGGAGCATTTTGCAGTTCTGGTGCTGGGGAGGTGAAGAAAAGGGCACCTCGGGGTCTTGCTGGCAACCAGCCTACCTGAATGTCAGTCTTAGGTGCCGATGAGAGACTGTGCTTCAAAAACTAAGATGGACAGCTTCCGAGAAACAACATCCAAAGTTAATCTCTGGCTTCTGAAAAATTAATCTCACACACACTATTTTAAGAAAGCCATATTTGTTGTGGTAGTGTCTGAGCTTTATTTTGTTTGCTTTTGTAGGGCCATGAAATGACAAGCATTGGATTGCTGCTTGGTGTTTCTGCTGCAAAACTTGGCACCATGGACATGTCAATTACCCGGCTTCTTAGCATTCACGTTCCTGCTCTCCTACCCCCAACATCCACAGAGCTTGATGTGCCTCACAATGTCCAAGTGGCTGCAGTGGTTGGCATTGGCCTTGTTTATCAGGGCACAGCTCACAGACACACTGCTGAAGTCCTGTTGGCTGAAATAGGTATGCAGTCAATATTGCTTAATCTTTACAGTGTACATTTCCACTCAAACATATACCCATAGAAAATGATAAATTACGAAAATTAAGGAAAACAAAGAGTAGCTTTTATTAGCACAGAATGACCAGATAATTATTTAAAAAAAAAAAAAACTGAACAAGTAATGTAGCCAGGGCTTTTGTTGCTGTGTGGGTGGTAAACCTACATTGGCAAACTCACTGCTGAGCTTGAGGGAACATGTGAGTATGTTGTTCATCTCACACAAGGCAGTGTCTAGCAGTGACCTGCACTTCAGACTAGATTGTTTTGCTTCCTAATAGCACATTGTTTTCTTCTGTTGGATAAAAACACTTGAAAAATAACCAAGTGATTGTCTCTTTCCTGTGCTCACCTCTTACCTTTCAGTTACCTTTTAATCACTGGTGAAATGTAAAGGATTTACATCTTAATGTAAATGCTGTACAGTTTTTACACTTGTATTGTTTAGGGACTAACGATGGAAGCCTCTGTGTTCAGTGCAGGTACAACTTAAAAAGTATTTTTGGTGTGTGGTTGGTTGAGTCCATGGGTGCAGAACCTATAGATAATGAGGCCACTGTATATGCAAGTTTAACTTATAAATTAATGAATTAACAATGGTAAATGATGTTAGAATGTGATGTTAAGTTGGGAGCATCACCCCAGTCCTTGGCATCCATCCCAGCCCCCTGGCCTGGGAGTTGGGTTGGTCTGGACTCCAAATCCCAGCATGCCAGGTCCTGACCCCTCCCAAAGGGTATTTAAATGGGTTCCCAGAGGATGAATACGTGGTCCTGGGTTTTGCGTGTGCTTCCTGGTTTTCTGTCTCCCCTGCCATGCTCTCTGCCACCCGAGAGTGCCGCATTTAATAAAAACATGGGCATTTTAATTTGGTTTAGTTTAACCTGATTGATTGGCTTTTTTTATTTATTTTTTATTTATTTATTTATTTTTTGCAGATAGCTGTCTTAGGATTTTTTTTAATATATGGAGGTTCCACCGAGATTTAGAATAGGATGATTATAATGCCCAACTGAAGTTGGGCATTTTTATTTCTAGAATTTGGCATTTAATGTTTTCAGAACAGTGTTGGCTACCAGTAGGGAAAGCATGGAAAGTAACTTGAGGTTTCTGAGCTAGAGTGTGTTAGTGAGGATGCATTATCCTTTAGCATGATAGCATCACATAACTGTTGCGGCCACACTTCTACATAATGAACGACAGTTAAATTGGCCTGCTGGCTCTGCTTTAGGCCGAAGATCTGTAGTTTGGTTACTCTGGTTCTGCTTCACCTCTTCTAGGAGCCAGGCTAGAGGATATGTTTTCTCTTGTGATGTGTATGTAGGAGACTCGATAACAAAAGTTTTAGTCCATTGCTGTTGTGCCAGCCAAAGTCATGCCACATTGGGCAGGTCCACCAAAAAGCCGTTTCATGAGGTGGTTGTACCACAGGGCAGTGAAGATTGTGGCTGCAACTTTAATCTGCCATAGTGATAGAAGTGATTCACAAAATTGAAACATTCCTATACCAAAATATAAAGTCACATAAATTATGGGTCTGAAAAAAGTACCCAGAAGGTCCCTAGCACCGCTATTTAGAGCTTGTTCATCTAGAATAGTGGTTCTCAGCCTTTCATAGAGGTTGTCTGAGACCATTGGAAAACACAAATACATTTTTTTAAGGTTTATTTATTTAGTATGTATACAGTGTTCTGCCTGCATATGTCCCTGCAGGCCAGAAGATGCACTGAATCTCATTTACAGGTGGTTGTGAGCCACCATGTAATTGCTGGGAATTGAACTCAGGACCTCTGGAAGAATCAGTCAGTGCTCTTAACCTCTGAACCATCGCTTCAGCCCAGACATCTCTTTAACCCACACAGATACATTTATAACAGTAGCAAAATTACAATTATGAAGTAGCAATGAAAATAATGTTATTGCTGGTAGTTACCACGACATGAGGAACTGTATTAAAGGGTCGCAGAAGTAGGTAGGTTGAGAACTAGTAAGCTAGAGGATAAGTAAATGCTGCTGTACCACAGTCTGTCCAGTGATGGAACCACTGTTGCACAGCCACAGCCCACCTCCTTCATATTCTGCATGCAAGTTTCATCAGTGATTCATATGCACGTGGTATTTATATTCTGCCTTTGAAAATGCTTCATTGTCATAAGTATCTTTTAAAATTAATTTAATATTGTATATCTTATGAAGTTTTCTAAAATACCTAATTTGTTAGAACTTTCTTTTTTGCTTTAAGCAATTTTTTAGTTTGTTTTATGTGTGGATGTTTTGCCTATGTGTGTGTGTGTACCATGTGCAGTGCCCACGAAGGCCAGAATAGGGAATAGGGTGTTTGATATCTTGGAACTGGAATTACAGACAGTTGTTAGCTGTTGCCATGTGGGTGCTGGGAATCAAACCTGAGTCCTCTGGAAGAGCACAGGTTCTTTTAACCACTGAGTCATCTCTCCAGCTCCCTCCTCCTCACCTTTATTTTTAAGGTAGGGTCTCAGCCCAGGCTGGCTTAGAACTGTTTCCTCCACCTCCCAAGTGCTGGGATTTAGCATGTGCCATCTTTTCAGCTACGTTCAGAAGCAGTTTTTAATCTGTTTTGCTAGCATACATAAGTAATTTTTCTCTTTTGAATGTCATCCTCTCCCCACCCCGGAGAATAATTCCAGAAGGATAAACTTCTTTCTGAAGGGAGAGGTCTTTATACATAACACATTTTGTTTTCTGAAGCGGCAGGTTTCAACCTTCTTGATGCTGTGGCTCTTTACTACAGTTCCTTATGTTCTGGTGACCCCAACCATAAAATTATTTCATTGCTACTTCATAACTAATTTTGCTACTGTTATGAATCGTAATGTAAATATCTGATATGCACCTGTTGAAAACTGATGCCCTAAAGCATAGAGTTAGTAGAATGCAGTACTTTTAAAAGTATGAATTTTTATCATAAGCACACACACACATATTATATAAAATCAAATAAAAATCTAGAAATAGTTTTTAACTTAAAAGCATAAAGTAAGTGCATGTTTTATTTATTATTAGTACTTAAACAATTTAAATCACATTTGATGAATGCAATTGAAAACATAAAAATCAGATTAAAATGGTTTTAATTTATTTTTTGGTGAAAACAGTTTTTTTGTTTGTTTGTTTGTTTTTTAAGTGTAATTGTCTGCTTTCTAAAGTGTTGTTGGAGTAAGCTAGTGTGGAAGGTCAGCAGACAGTTTTCTGGAGTTGCTCTCCCACCATGCGTGTCCTGGAAATTGCACTCAAGATTGTCAGGTTCTGCCTGCCCAAAGCAATTGTCTCTTTCAAAACTATAATTCTTACTTCTTGGCAACTTTCTGGTAAAAACCAAGTTTTCACAGTATTTGAATATCATTGCTGATAGAAGCCTTGATAGGTAAATTTAAGAACCTTTGGGAACTTTAGATCAGCTGTTAAATTGGATGCCCTTTGGACAATGTCTTTATCTTAAGCATTTGGTCTCTAGAACTTTTACAGTTGGGATTTGTAATAGTCTGGCTTGACCTGTGCTTCTCTGCCTTCCATAGGGCGCCCCCCTGGTCCGGAAATGGAATATTGCACTGACAGAGAGTCCTACTCTTTAGCTGCTGGCCTGGCCCTGGGTATGGTTTGCTTGGGGGTGAGTAGTCTGTCTTCCCTGCTTTTACCCAGTGCATCTGTGTACTGAAAGGAACAGCCTCAACACTTAGCCCTGAATGCCACTCTGCTATCCTGTCGTGTCACCCAGAACCCAACCTTTGCTTCTTTCTGGATTATTTTCCCAAAGTTTGCAGTGGAGAAAAATTATAGTGAAGTGAGACTTTAAGATTTCTTGGGCTAGAGAGATGGCTCAGTGGTTAAGAGCATTGCCTGCTCTTCCAAAGGTCCTGAGTTCAATTCCTGGCAACCACATGGTGGCTCACAACCATCTGTAATGAGGTCTGGTGCACTCTTCTGGCCTGCAGACATACAGACAGACTATTGTATACATAATAAATAAATATTAAAAAAAAGATTTCTTGTCCCTGACTTATATGTGATAGTTAAACTATGATATTTCTCTTTCATTTTTATTTTATGTATATGAATGCTTTACTTGTACATATGTCTGTTCACCATTTATGGGCAGTGCCTGAAGAGGCCAGAAAATGGCATTGGATCCCCCTAGAACTAGAATTACAGATAGCTACAATGTTTGTGGTTGGTATTGAATCCAGGTCCTCTGGAAGAGTAGCTAGTACTCTTTACCACTGAACCGTCTTTCCACCCCTGAAATTTCTTGAAAAATGTTCAAGAGCTAATAAGATAAAGAATGGTAAATCACTCTGGAAGAAAATAGGTCTGGAGAGATAGCTCAGTGAATAAGAATGCTTGGTATAAGCATGAAAACTTGAGTTTGGATTTCAGAACACACTGAGAATGATAGAGCAGGATACCCAGCATCCTCCTGTGGTCCCTGTGCATTCTTATACACAAGTACCCATACATGTTTGTATGTGTACCTGCATACACATGCAAATGCACCACACTCAGACACATATGCTTATTCACACAAATATAATGATTACTCTTTTTCTCTCTACACATACACGAGTAGAAAAATAGTGAAAATATTTATGATTAGAAGCCTTAATCTGTCATAATCGCCCTAATCGTTTTTTGCTGCTCTGTTAATCAGTGTATTACAGTTGCCATAGCAGCTCTTGCTTTGCAGTGTCAAGTTAATTCATCTCTAACTCTATCCAAGAGATGTCTACAAAACTACCAAAAACATTCCATGTAATTACTGTTTTTTACTCTGTATGTGATTGCCTTGAAAACCCACCAATGTCGTGTTCTAATCAAACTAAATGATATTCAAAATGTTGTAGTGGAACATGTTGCTTCTTATGTGTATTCTAAAAACCTGTCATTGTTGCCCATGTGTTTTCTCCTCACATCTGACGTGGGAGCTAAAGAGGCAGGTGGTACTATGTAAAAAGCTGTGAATTGGGCCTGGAAATTTGGTTCAGACATGGTGAATGTGATTATTTGACTACATTACTGTCTGTTGGTTAAGCAACCCCATGACTGTTGAGCAGAACTGCTGTGTGTGACATTCAGCCCTGCCATTTAGTAGCTAGGTGTTGTAGGGAGGCCACTTGGTCGTTCGGCCGCCCCAGCAGCTCAGACCCAAAATAATCACACAGAAACTATATTATTTAAATCACTGGTTGGCCCATTAGCTCTAGCTTCTTATTGGCTGACTCTTACATCTTAACCGGCTAAAGTTCTGGCGTCTGTCTCCAGCATGGCTACATGGCTTCTCCTTTACTCCACCTTCTTTCTCCCAGCATTCAGTTTAGTTTTCCCCGTCTACTTCTGTTCTGCTCTGCTGTAGACTCAACGCAGTTCTTTATTAATCAGTAGTAATTATAACATACAGAGGGGAATCCCACATCAGCTAGGTAGGTAGGTAACCTTGGGCTGGGTTCAGTTGCACCTCCTTCTCATTATAAATGGGATTCTCACTAGTAGTTATCCAGTAGTGTCCTTGTTTTGTTCTGTTGCTGTGATAAAAAACTGACCAAATACGCCTTAGGGGAGGACGGATTTATTTCTGCTTACATTTCTATTCTGGGCAGGAACTCAAGTTGGGAACCCAAAGCAGATAGCATGGAGGAGTCTGATTGTTTGCTCACTTTCTGGCTTGCTTATAGGCTCATGCTTAGCTAGCTCTGTTTTACAACCCAGGACCACTTGCCTAGGAATCGTACCTTCCCCTTGGGCTGAGGCTTCCTACATCCATTAATAATCAAGGCAGTCCAGTCTCATCTAGATAATTCCTCAGTTGAGACTTTTCTCTCAGGTGTATCAAGTTAACAAACAAAACTACTAGGACAAACAGGATTGCTGAATTGAGTTAATTCATATTAAATACAACAAAATTGAGCATGTTACTGAGTAAGCATTTAGTAAGTTATTGTACTTGCCTTAGAGATCACAGGTGCAGTAACAGTACTCATGTGTTCACAGTTCAGGTTCTGAATATATACTCGGTCTTTCTCCTTACTCTCAGTGTTGTTATATCATTGACTTTATATATTTTATGAAACCAAAGAATGTAGATCTGAATGTAAACAACAATTTTTGAGAATTAATACTTGATATTAGTTAATGTGTAAAATGTTTATTGTAATTGGAAGAAACATCAAAGTTAAAATGCCCTCTTCTGAAGTGTCCCTTGGTTTATGGGTGTGTGTTACTGATTTACTGCTGTAAGACTTCTCTTCATCTCAGTTATTTGATTTTTCCAGCACGGCAGCAACTTGATTGGTATGTCTGATCTCAATGTGCCTGAGCAGCTATATCAGTACATGGTTGGAGGTCATAGGCGTTTTCAAATTGGAATGCACAGGGAGAAACATAAATCTCCAAGTTACCAAATCAAAGTAAGTCAAATCAGAGTTAGAGATCAGAATGCTACAAGCTGGGAGGGCTAAGAGGCTAGCTTCAATTCAAAGTAGTGTTTTCCTACCAACGGTTAGTAATGTGCTGATGGCATGTATGCTCATCCTGGTGAATTCAGAGCTATTACATGAATACCTTCTTTCACCAGGAAGGCGATACTATAAATGTGGATGTGACTTGTCCAGGTGCTACTCTGGCTTTGGCTATGATCTACTTAAAAACCAATAACAGGTATGAGCACCCACCTGTCCCTTGCATGACATGTGGCATCCTTTTTGCCCTCAGCATATAATCTTCCCTGTGCTAGAGCAGCCTGATGTCTGTTCTCTCAGATAACAGGAGCTGAGTAGACTTTATATTATGTTTTCTTTGGTAATGCTGATTGTCAGGACTCTTGTCTCACTGTGTTTAGGTTATTGGTCCCAGGACCCCTAAAGACATTAGAACCCACAAAAGCATGGGATTTGTGTGTAACCTATGTACTTCATCTTAGTACTTAAAATCATCTATAGATTACTTACAATATGAGATACACTTATACATACCATATAAATGGTTGTTAATACTGTATTGTTTCGAGAATAATGATTAAAAAATCAAAAGACCATCTGTTTAATCTAGATGTAAGGTTTTTTCCCCCTCCTGGTACTTTCGAGTAGATGTGGAAGCCCAAAGAGCTGCCCAGTTCCTTTCTGTAGTTTGGCATATCCTTGTGAGTTCTGTTGAAGCCAGAAATACTGAGCATTATTCTCTATTTGGTTGTCATTTATAAAAATGGTTTATGCTTTGTTTAGAAGCGTTTCTAATGACCAAAGCTTCTGCTTTCTCAGTCTGTTCTGAGTTATGTCCCCAACTCACCGTAATTCTTTTAATTTGAAAGATGTTCTGAGATTCCTTCAATTAGGAAAGTTCTATGCAGAATTAACAAAGTGGTAACAGATGCTATGTCAGTGTCTTCTGGATACTGGAGCTATTTCATTGAACAAGACAAAACTAAAATATCCTCATGGAACTGACATGTTATAGTGAGATATAAAAATAAATATTATGTCAGCATGTGTGAAGCACTAATGAAAAAGTTAGACCTTTACTGGAGGAGAAAAATGATTGGATGCCTTTTGAGTTTTCATTACCTGGCTTTCTTGAGCAGTAACCTTCATTGATGTCCTCTGCCAACAGATCCATTGCCGACTGGCTGCGAGCTCCTGATACCATGTATTTGCTGGACTTTGTGAAGCCGGAATTTCTCTTGCTTAGGGTGTGGTGTTTTGTCATTTTTATCTTTCTTGACATGAAGGGGACTTTTTTTTTGTGATCCTCAAGTTTAGCTTACAGTTCTAAATGCCTTTTCATGAAAGGCTTTTACTTTTAACTTGCCATGTTTTTCTGATTGGCAATGTTCTTTTGAAGTTTCTCAAAAAGAGCTTAGGAAGGCTAGGAAAGGTGACCAACCTGATAGATAATACTTGGGATGATGTTTCTTATATTATTGTTAAAAAAAAAAAACTACTAAAAGGCAGCTCGTGAGCAGTATCATTCATTTTATTAAGGATGCAATAGTACTGTTACTGCTGTAATGAGAGTGTCGTTTAGTACCGTCTGAAATTGTACTGCATTTCTTTAATGTCTGAGCCACTACACAGAAGCCTCTACGTTGATGTATAAACTGAGCTATGGCTCTTTCCTTTGTGATTTTTTTTTTCACAGCACACCATTGAAACTTTGATGATGATGAACTGAATTTTAATTTTCTTTAAGATCTAAATCTTTATATATTTAGCTGATAGTCTATGTTTTTTAAAGTAATCATTAGTTGGGAACTAATCTTTATTTACTGCTATAATTGTTAGGAAATAGGTCAACTTTGCCTAATTAATTTTGTCTGTAATTCATTTTTAAGACACTTGCTCGGTGCCTGATTTTGTGGGATGATATTTTACCAAATTCCAAGTGGGTTGACAGCAATGTTCCTCAGGTAGGTACAAATGATAAATACTGTAACTTTAATAACATAAATGGTGATTTCTTGCAAGATATCCAACATACTATAGAGTATTTTTCTCATGAAGACAATCATGGTATCTTCTTTTAAAAAAAATTGTTATTTATTATTTTTAAGTGTGTGCACATACATATGTAAGTGCTGATGCTTGAAAAAGTATCAGAGCATCCTGGAGCTGGAGTTACATTGCAATTGTGAGCTGCTTATAGTGGGTTGTGTGAATTGAATTCAGGTCCTCTGATGGAGTAGTGCATTCTTGTAACTGTTGAGTAGTCTTTCCAGCTCACCTGTGGGTTTATCTTTTGAAGTCAGAGGAATATTCATTTTAAAAGTGCATTCTGAGAGCCAAGGAGATAGCATAGCAGCTAAAGTGCTTGCATTGGTCCAGAGTTAAAACATCCAGTTCTTGCTCCTTCACACTGGTCCTACTTTGCAGGGGTGGTCATAGGCTGTGGTGTCCTGGTCCTGCTAGATGTCCCCATTCTTCTTGCTAGCCCTTAGTTCCCAGATCTGTTGGAACCTTGAGGCTATCTCAGATCCTCTCCAGGTTATCTCTGAACCTCCCCAGGCTATCTCTGAACCTCCCCAGGCTATCTCTGAACCTCCCCAGGCTATCTGATAGAGGGCATAGACTGGCATCACCATGGGTGATGGATGGGTGGTGCTGGAGTCTTCCCACCGATCTTACTCTGAGTACTCTGCTCATGTGGTGGTGCTTTCTGAAATGGATGTGCTGGATGTGATATTAGGGTTCCCAGATCCCATGTAAGTCCTGGTGGGAGAAGGAACAGCTGAGACTAGACATACTGGTGACTCTGGATTTGATTAAGAGATCCTTCTTCAATGGATAAGGCAGAAGAAGGGTCAAGGGAGATGCCTGGCCTCAACCTCAGGCGTCTGTGCCCATGTACATACAGGTGCAGGCGCCCATGCACACACACACCTACAAGCTTGCACGTATACATGCCATATACCAGATGAAAAGAAGTAAAAAAAAAAGTCTTATATTGACCACAAACCTCTCAGCCTTTTGTCCTCAGAGACTTTAAAGTTGTATTGTTTAAAATTAAACTGGATCACTCTTTATATATATATATATATATATATATATATATATATATATATATATATTTTATTGAGAAAAGGAGAAAAGAAAAAAAAAAGTTTCCACCTGCTCCCAGCCTCCCATTTCCCTCACCCTCATCTCACCCTACGCCTCCTCCTCCCACCCTTCTCCCCCTCCCCCCACTCCTTTCCCCCTCCCTCTCCAGTCCAAAGAGCAGTAATGCTTTATTCTAGTTACACATTTATCTAAGATTCTGTTTATAAAATTTGCAGTCTTAGGATATACTAAATGAGCTGAGTATTTTAGTTAAAAGCAGCAGTCTACTTTTTAACAAGACTTCAGAATCCTTATTAGAACTAGCTGCTGCCAGTGTGTGTCCTGCATTGTTCCCACGCCATACCTGTGGTAGAACACTTCCAAAACTAAAATGTGAATGGACTTTACGTGATGTTACTGATGCATGCTATAGGTAACATTTTACTGTAGAAGCTCGTTTAATCGCATCTGTTTGCTTACCCATCCCATTATTTTATTTTTAATTTTGAATATATTTGCAAGTTGTAAATAATAATGAACTTCTCCCAAAAATATCAATATATGTATCATTAACTAGATATCAATATTTGTTTTCCTATTATGTTAAGTTTTTTAAATCATGGAACACACAATTAAATGTACTGTTTAATGAGCTGTGACTAGTGGTGCGCCTGTGGACGCAAGCTTGTGTCCTGTATGTGCTTCTCTGAACACTCCCCTTCGTACTCCGTGTGCTAGGCTCACTGTGAACTGACTTTAATGAAGTCACCTACAGTACATATCTTTTGTGTGAGCCTTCCACTCAGTATGGTACGTGCTGTTACTGAGTGTGTTCATACTCCATTCTTTAGGTTTATTCTGTCATGTGAACATGTCAGTTACTTTTCTGTTGTCTTTTGTTGGGCACCTGGGCAGCTTCAGATTCTGGCTGTCATGGATCAGGCTCCTGTGAAGATTTGCAATAATTAGTGCATAGCTGCTGAAGTTTAGTGCATTAGGTTACGTGGGCGTTGGGCAGAATCACCCAGATAGGACGGGCAAGGGCAACCCAGAAGCAAGGGCTGTTAGGACCTGGCTGATCTCCTACTTGGAATCCACCTGTTTTTGCCTCCTGAGTGCTGGACTCAAAGGCACACACCACACTCCACCTAAGGGTTGGAAGTCTTTTGTTATTTTGTAATTTAAAGAGACCGCAGGATGATGGGAAAGAAAGGAACCAGATTCTAGAGGACTTTTCTTTGCAGTTGTTTACAACTAATTTTCTTAGTGATGTTTTTTTAGTTGATGATCAAATGTGATGTTGTGACCATGGCTGGTGGAACTGTATAATAATAACTAGCTAACACAAAAGACTTCTGTATGCAGCTTGCTAATTCTAAGAGCTGTCAGTGGATTAACTTTCATTATGTTCATTTATGGATTAGTCACAGAGCTGCCAGGTGTGTGACCTTAAAGTTGGCTTTGAAGCCAGGCCTAAGCTCCAGTGTACATGTTCTGTTAAGGACCCAAAGGAGGCCCAGTGAGATGCCTCAGTGAATCGGTAAGGGCTCTTGCTGCCAAGCCTGTAACCTGAGTTTAATCTCAGTAACCTGTGCTTGTTAGGAGAGACTTGTGGTTATAAGAAATTCTCTGACCTTTACACGCACCATGACTCGTTTGTGTGCGCCCACACACAATAAATAGAGAAATAAATACACAATTTAAAAAAATAATTCAAAGGAATTTAGACATGCCTACTGTCAAAACAGAAATAGCCTGTTCTTATATGAAGGTACAGGTAAGTTCTAGTATATATTACTGTTACAATCAGGTTATCCATGTATGTATAAATCACTCACTTTGGAGTTTACTTTTTGTAAATACAGCCATGACAGCTAGTTTATGGCATATTCGTAGCTTTAACAGTGGTGTTCAGACATTCTTGCTTTCTGTCTTGACAGATTATAAGAGAAAACAGTATCTCTTTGAGTGAAATTGAATTGCCTTGTTCAGAGGACTTGAATTTGGAAACCTTGTCGTAAGTAATGTAATACATAATATTAACTATGTTAGCACCTGCCAGATCAGTTTCCTTTCATATGAGAACCGTTGGCTGATTTGAGTAATTCTGAATCCCTCATTTTTGTAATCATTATTTATATGATGTTCACAGATTGCTCGTGTGTGTGTGTGTGTGTGTGTGTGTGTGTGTGTAAAACTCAGGAGGCAGAGGCAGGAGATCAGGCATCCTCAACTATATAAGTGAGTTCAAGGTCTCACTGGGACATGTGAGAACCTGTTTCCAAAAAAAAAGAAAAAAAGAAAATGGAAATTTAGTTGTACTTTCTCCTTTTCATTCTTTCCATGGTGGGGGGAGACTTTTAAAGTTGTTCTTCTTTATAGTATAGGAAAGAATTTCATGTAAGAGGCATGCTATGTCAGTAAAGGTCACATGATCTGCAAAAATCTACAGAAATCTGCCGATAGGTTAGGACCTTCTTCAGCATTCTCAGAAAGCTGAAAATTGCTTTGGAGAAGATGAATATTTATTATTTTTATTCCAAGAGGATATGTGGTAATGGATTTTTTAAGGACAATAGCAACATTATGTTTTCTGTAATCTGTTTTCAGGCAAGCACACGTCTACATAATTGCAGGAGCCTGCTTGTCTCTGGGTTTTCGATTTGCTGGCTCAGAAAACTTATCAGCATTTAACTGTTTGGTGAGGAATATCTTGGCTTGTGCTGGTGTGCTGTGAGCTCTCCTTCTGTTTTACTATTAAAGCCTTAAGATTCCACTTTTAACTTTCAATTTTTCTTTTCTTCTTCCAGCATAAATTTGCAAAAGATTTTATGAATTATTTATCTGCACCCAATGCTTCTGTAGTAAGTCTTTTTTTCTTCTTTCCCCTATTTGGGAATAAAGTAAACAAAGAAAATTTCATAAGCCCAAAACTCATGGGTTGTCAAATACCTTTGCTATTTGAATTATAAAGGAGATTTGAAGCACTATCATCTTTATATTTTGGTTTTAAGATACTAAATTAGGTGAGAATATGGTTACCCTTGAGACTCTGAATAGCATGGGAGGATGAATGTGTTTCTATTTCTTGTGACAAGAGAATAAATAAGAGAGATATAATATTTGTGGATTGTCATACTTCATATTCTTTTATGTTACTGAATACTAAAAGTTTCCTTAATGGAAAAAAAACACAGAAAGTCTAGGGAAGCAAGACTGAACTCTGTGCAAGCCCACAGGAGGCCTGCCCCTTTCTGAATGGTGATGGAGGAGAACAGATGGAGAGGGGGTGGATGGGAAAGGGGAGTGGAGAGGAAGCTGGTTGGTATGTAAAATAAATGAAAAAAATATTATTTAAATTAAAAATTTTAAAAAAATCTAGGGAGGATACAGTTGTTCTCAAGACATTTGCCACCCTCCCAAAGAGACTGCAAGATTTTATTTCCTGGTTAACAACACAGACCCACGCAGTTGTTTTTATAATGCGAAAAAATTAGAAATATCAGAAATTCTCGAAGTATTTAAGTCATGGCATTTCCATATGTTCTTACATATTGGATGTAGCAGAACCATTGCTGTATATGTTTTTTTTGTGTGTATAAAAATTGCTTATAAGTCACTAAGAGAGTTAGCATATGTGGTGGTGTCTGCTTTTCATCTGTAAATGTATGTATGCATGTATGTATGTATGGGGAAGACTTGTTTTTAAAGATTTGTTTATTATGTATACAGCATGTTTGCCTGCAGGCCAAAAGAGGGCGACAGATCTCATTACAGATGGTTGTGAGCCACCATGTGGTTCCTGGGAATTGAACTCAGAGCCTCTGGAAGGGCAGCTAGTGCTCTTAACCACTGAGCCATCTCTCCAGCCCATTTTTTTTTTAATTTATTTATTTAGGGAAGATTTTCTGAGAGAATGTTGTCTTTAGGGATAATGTCAGTTCTCAGTGGGTGGTGCATTGTTAATTTATGATGCTATATTTTTCAACTCTTTACATTGAATTTATATTTCATAATCAGAATATTCATTTTTATAAATTTAGTTTTAAAGTTACAAACATTTGTAATCTTCCAATGTCAGATACTTTGGTAATTAAGAAATGCATTTACAATTAATGCAGAGTCATGTTTTTGTGTCACCAGACAGGGCCCTACAACCTCGAAACCTGTCTGAGTGTTGTCCTGCTGTCTCTTGCCATGGTGATGGCTGGCTCTGGGAACCTGAAGGTGTTGCAGCTCTGTCGCTATCTGCATATGAAGACGGGTGGAGAGATGAACTATGGTTTCCACTTGGCCCATCACATGGCCCTGGGTCTTCTCTTTTTGGGAGGAGGAAGGTAATGAATTTGTTTTGTTTTGTTTTTCCTTAATAAAAAGAGTTGATGAGAGAGATCTATAAAAGTGATTTTTGTTTCTTTTAAAAGTACATTTTTCTGTTGTTGGCCTTTTTCATATAAATGTTGGAATTTGTCATTTTTCATAGTAAGTAACCCGATAAAACATTAATTAGAACTGCATTGACCCTGCATCAGTTGCAGAGGGTTGACGTCTCTTGCCATCTTCTCTTTTATCTGTAGCTTTACTTACTTATCTGATGTCTGTGACCTTGGCCAACTGCTCTAATTTCTGAGTTATATAGGCTTATTTTCACCTCCTTTAGAAGTATAAAAAAATTGAAATTTGGAAGTTAGAGATAATGAGGAAGATGTGCATTTTCCTTTTATGTTTTGTGACAGTTGCTTCTTTCTAGTAATTTAGGATTATGAATGTTTAAAGCTGGAGCTATAGCTCAGTCATAAAGTACTTGCCTATCTTGTACAGGACCCAACCTCTGAATTGTTGCAACAGCAATAAAAATTAAAGAGCCAACAAGAATGGGTAAAGGGATGTTAACTATCAAAATTCTTTTTATTTTATGATTTTTGAAATTTCTTCCTTCTAAATAAGTCCTATCTTAGTATGGCTACTTGCTTTTCTTTTAGATTGGATCATTTTTCTTCATCCCTGTTTCTGTCTTTGTTTTTTTTTATATATTTTATTTTTAATTATGGTTTATGTGTGCCTATGGAAGGGTTTATACACTTGAGTTCAGGTTCTTGTGTCAGTTCCCCTGGAGCTTGAGTTACAGGCAGTTGTGATTTGCCCAACATGGGTGCTGAGGGCCAAGCTTAGATCCTTTGGAAGAGCAGCTCACACTCTTAACTGCTGAGAAATCTCTCCAGCCCCTGGCATTGGCTTTTAGTGATTGTTTTATTTTTAAATTGTTTTGTTTTCTGTAAGATTTATACTTATAACAGCCTGTACTGTTATGTTTAATCTCCAAGTTTCTAGTGTTAATATCTGAATATTCATCTTTGAATTTTGATTTATCAAAATGATAAAGTACTTCATTATCCTTACTCTGTTGTTTTAGGATAAACCTTGCTTCTTAATCCCTGGGTTGCATTGTGACATTTGTAAAATGTTACTTTTTTTTTTTTTTGAATAGTAGTCATTCTGGAAATACAAAGAGATGTATCCACACCAAGGATACACTTTGTTTATCAAGTATACTTTGTTACAGAACCCCACTGTGCTGGTTTAAGAATGCCTGGAAGATATAAGCATGGAAATTAATAATGTCTGTCCCCACTGAATTTGCTCTGCAGGTACTCTTTGAGCACATCTAACTCGTCCATTGCTGCTCTTCTCTGTGCCCTTTACCCACATTTCCCAGCCCACAGCACTGACAACCGGTGAGTCCTGTCCATTGCTTAACACTGTTTCCTGAGTTATCTGAGGGTAGTTAGTCTGTTTTGCTTTCATGGGCAATTGCTTTGTTTTTGAACTTACCTTCCTGTCTAAATCTATTAAACATCTCTTTCAAAGTATTAGACTAGAAGAAAATTCTGGACATCTGATGCCTGATTATTCTTACATCTTTGAGACTTGTGAATCCAAATGTAGGCCAGATTGAGTTATCTTTAGGTACAAATTTACCTTACAAACTTTAGTAGCCAAGGGAAGTTGGCTACTATATATATATTTGTTGTAAGGAGGCTGCTTGTTGGTTCCTGGCTGCTCAGCCCTGAAATAACCACAGAGAAACTGTATTATTTAAAACACTGCTTGGCCCATTAGCTCTAGCTTCTTATTGGCTAACACTTATATCTTAATTTAACCCATTTCTAGTAATCTGCATATTGCCACATGGCTGTGGCTTACCGTAGGGTAAAGTTCTGGCATCTGTCTCTGTTGGGGCTCCATGGCTTCTCCCTCTCCACCTTTCTTCTCCCAGCATTCAGTGTAGTTTTCCCCACCCACCTCTGTTCTGCCCTGCTCTGCTGTAGGCTCAAAGCAGTTTCTTTATTAACCAATGGTATTCACAGCATACAGAGGGGAATCCCACATCATATATTTATATATACTATGTTTTCTGTTAAGATTATTTAATTCCAAGAAAAAAAAACTTAATTTGATTTAGTGGCAATGTGAATTCCTTCTTTAATATGATAGCTGAGAAGTTTTGTGTAAATGGCATCAAAAAGACAAAAATAGAGACCTATAAAAAGGTAAAACAATTTAGAAGTGACAGGAAACAGTAGCCCCAGGAGTCTTATGAAGCAAGCAGTTCAGAGCTTTAGAGAGCATGTAAAGCACAAGAATGACTAGCGCGTCCTTCTCCAGGAAAGTGTTCAGGTGAAGGGACCTCTTTTGTGCATTGGGAAAGAAAATAGCTCTTTGTGTAATAGCCCTGGCTGTCCTGGAAGTAGCTCTTGTAGACCAGGCTGGCCTCTAACTCACAGAGATCAATTTGTCTCTGCCTCCCAGTGGTGGGATTAAAGGCGTGCGCCACCACGGCCCGACATTTTGTTTCTGTTTTTTTTTTTTTTTTTTTTTTTTTTTTTTTTGTTTCTGTTTTTAAGTTACTAGTTTTGTGTGTGTCCCATGTCCCGTGTATATGGAGGCCAAAGATTGACCTTGGGTATTATCTTTATCTGTCACTCTCCATTTTACTTTTTGAGATAGGATTCCTACTGACTATAGAGCTTGACTGGCTGGCCAAGTCCCAGAATCCCAGGATCCACTTGTCTTCACTTTCCTGGCACTGAGGAGTCACAGGTGTATGCCTCTGCACCAGGATGTTAGTTTTGGGGAACTAACACAAGCCTTCATATTTAAGCCATGTGCACTTCACCACCCCACTGAGTCATCTCTTCAACCTCGTTTTATCTTTTTTTAAAAATTGTAGTCTCATTTCATTAGTCTTTAATAATGGTATCCAAAAATTAAGCATTTGTGTTTTGATTCTAAAATGTAATTTCTAAAGTTAAAAATTTTTTTTTAAAGATTTTATTTATTTATTATGTATACAACAGTCTGCCTCCATGTATGCCTCCAGGCCAGAGGGCGCCAGATCTCATTACAGATGGTTGTGAGCCACCGTGTGGTTGCTGGGAATTGAACTCAGGTCCTCTGGAAGAACAGTCAGTGCTTTTAACCGCTGAGCCATCTCTCCAGCCCTAAAGTTAAAATTTTTAATGTGAAAATTCAAAAACAGGTATATACACACATTGCCACTCTCACCCCTCAGTGTTTTACTGTGCATGTTAGTGAGTTGTGTGATTGTTTGTATGCAAGAATGTATACAAGAAAGCTTTGCCCTCTGAGAATTGACTGGTGTCCTTCCTTCCCTACCAACCCTGAAGAAAAAAACTACAGCATGTCCCTGAGATAGGTGACGAGGATGATTGTGTAGAGAAGCCAGGAATGGTTGAATGGAACTGTTGTTTTAAGTCAATTGTTCAGGCTCCATTAATAAATATTTTCTTGTTAAGACATTCCTTGTTAAACTTTTTTTCACCTGTGAACTCAGACCAAGAATTCTTAGTAGTTCAAGTAGTTTCTTAGACTTTCTTTATGTGCTTTGGAGCCTGCAAGATGGCTCAGTAGATAAAGGTGCTTGCCACCAAGCCTGATGACCTGAGTTTAATTCCCTGTACCCACATGGTGAAAGGAGAGACTAACTCTTTTAGTTGTCCTCTGAGCTCTGCATACAGGTATCAGATGGGCATACACACAAGTGTAATAAAAAAAAATTAAACTAGAATTTCTCTGTACTTTTAATTCAGTTTTCCATCTTCATTTCAGATTCTTGATAGGAAGGTATTTGTCACCCCAGCATCTTTTAGTCTGTCAGCAACAGTGATTGTCACTTCTGTATGTTTTCTGTGCTCAGGTATCATCTCCAGGCCCTCCGGCACCTCTATGTGTTAGGTGCAGAACCAAGGCTTCTGGTACCTGTGGATGTGGACACAAACACACCCTGCTATGCCCTTATAGAAGTTACTTACAAGGTAACTGTCCCTGTCATCTCTGTAGGCCAGGTTATTTTAAAACATTTTAGCAAAAGGTGATGATAGTAAGTTGAACAGTCACAAAAAACAAAGCTTCCCAAGTTGCTGTTCACTGCCAGGCCATGCAGGCTCACTCTCATGTTTGGGTGTAGTTTTTGGCATCATCAGCTGTTCTTTTGTCCTTACAGCTGATCACTGGGAAATGTTACTCTTAACTTTATGTGGCTAATTAAATTGTTCTACAGAGTCATTTGGCTAAGAATGATTCTTAGTTTGATTTTGCCGAACATTTGAAATCCCTAAATTGTGTATTTTAGTGATCTTTCATTGGCATGCACACACAGATTACAAACCATGTAGTCGGTACCAAATTATTAAATACTTCTTTTTGTCAAAATGTGCTACACTTTGAAATGTGAAAGTGAGGTGATGATGTCATATTCCTGAAGGAAATGAATAGCCGGGCATGGATGCAGTGATAACAGTGTGATAATTGGAGGGACGTGTGGCACGCTGGAGTGTTCTTATCCTGTTGAAGAGTTTGGAGCAGTTGTCACAGTGGAAACTAGGCTGAGAAACGGCACTTGTTCTCAACATGTGTTTAAACCCATGGCATAGAAGCACAGCCCTTCAGGTTTGCTGCCCAATGAAAGTGTTGATGGTGATGAATGCTTCATAATAGAATTTAGGCTTGAGTCTTTTAAGATTTGAGTATTAAGGCTGTAGCTATAGATCAGCCCTAGAATGCTTGCTTGGTATGCACCAGGCCATCATGGACTTAGTGTAGCACTGCCAAGCAAAAAGACTATCAGAGGGTGTTGGGTTTCTTTTGCTGTGAAGACACAATGACCACCGCAATTCTTATAAAGGGAAACTTTTAATTGGGATGGCTTGCAGTTCCAGAGGATTAGTCTGTTATCATGGCAGGGCATGACAGCAGATATGGTGCTGCTGAGAGTTCTTGATCTGCAGGCAACAGGAAGTGAACTGTTTGTCACACTGAATATAGCTTGAGCAAAGGAGTCTTTCAAAGCCCACCCTCAACAATGGCATACTTTCTCCAAGGCGCACCTCCTAATAGTGCCATTCCCTTTGGGGGCTATTTTCTTTCAAACTACTACAGAGAGGTTGTGTTGTTTCCTAGTAAAGTGCAGACCATGAGCAAGGGGAAGGCACAGGGTGACCATTTGGCCAATGCTGGTTGTGTTTTATCTTTGTAAAGGGCACTCAGTGGTATGAACAGACCAAAGAAGAACTGATGGCTCCAACCCTTCTTCCAGAACTTCATCTGTTAAAGCAGGTGAGTTGGCGTGACTTAGGTGGTCTGTCTAGGGGTAAATTGAAACAATTGCATAGCAGTAAAGGTGTCCCCCTTTTCTCTATTTAAGAAAGCAGCAACAGCAGGAGGAATTTTTATGAAGGATAGAGGAGGTCTTATCTTAGTGGTCTTTACTAATAGTCTGTGTCTCTTCAGAACATGGTTCACATCCTTTTTGTAAGCAATTGGATCTTGTTAACCTAAAGGTGGCTCATTGCAGCCAAGTCACTATTTCCTTTAAGAAACATATTCGGTTTGCCAGCTTTGAATGACTATGTTACATTTGTTCTTGCAGATGAAAGTTAAAGGGCCAAGATACTGGGAACTGCTCATAGATTTAAGCAAGGGAGAACAGCACTTAAAGTAAGTATACTGAATTCTCACTTTTGCCTTTCTGGCAGTGCATAGAAGTCTTCAGGGAGGTGAAATTCTAGACTAGGGTCTGAGAATTGTTTGTCATTCTTTGATCTCATCCAAGACAGCATATAGGGTATATTGAACAGTGTGTTCTATATCTTTGAAGCAAGATTTGTTTTAGAATGTAAAAGTGTTAATTCGAGAGTCAAACTATAATGTTCACATATGTTCATTGAAAAACTAGAACATGTTATTTTACTTACTTTAGACAGTCATGGGGTTTCTGTTTGTACAGTACGATTTGGTTTAAAGGGGATTTTTTATAACTACGGATGCTCGTCAGATGTCTTCTCTTGCTCCCTTTAGCTATTGTTACAACTAACAAAAGGAAAATAAATTATATGCAAGTAATTATTTTAGCATTTTAATAATTTTATACTTTGGGAAATGTGTAATTTGTTTAAATTCATAAAAGTTTTGAAAAGCACATAAAAGTTTCATAGTTTACTCCCAATTGTGTCGTCGTATTCTGCAGTAGCTAATTTCTATTTGTTTGGTCTTAGATTACTTAGTATTTTCTTTCTACTGAAGTTACTACATCTTTAGTATTCCCTGTGTCTCAGGCATATTGCAAGGGACACAGGAACCGCAATTTTAGCTAAGATCCCGAGAAGCTCAGTCTTGAGCAGGTAAAATCCCGTGAATCCCAGTTCCACAGAGCAGTGGAGCTGCAGCCTCACTTACATGCACTCATTCATTTTGTGCATAGTGAATAATCCTGCCAGAGAATGGAGAAGATGTCCCCCCCTTTGAAAGTGGACTGGAAAAAGCTAGCTTCAGCAGAGAACTAACATTAATACCGTCTGTAAAGTCATCTTTTTCTCTCTCCGCCCCAGGTCCATTCTTTCTAAGGATGGAGTTTTGTATGTAAAGCTCAGGGCAGGCCAGCTGTCCTACAAAGAAGATCCAATGGGGTGGCAGAGTTTGTTAGCACAGACAGTTTCTAACAGGAACTCGGATGCCCGGACTTTCAAGGTAGTGTTGCGTTTCATTTAGTGTCTTTTATTGCTGTAGATTGTAAAACCTAATCGACCATGATTTCCACTGCTTTCTTATGTGACACCTATAATGAAATAGGGACATCCTGCTAATATTCTATGTAAGACTTGTATTTAGTGCCACATATAATAAACTTCCACACTACAAGCAATGTTTGGTTTAATTATTTTACTTGCTAGTCCCTCAAGTAGAGAAAGAAATTTGCTAGATAACATTTGTTATCCCCCCTCCCCGCCCGCACCCCCTTCTATCATTCTTTTGGCAGTGTTTTAGTATGTTGACCAGGTTGGCACCATCTCTCCCTGGCTCCCCTTTACTCTTTGTCTCTAGAGGCTGAATCATGGCTTTATACATGCTAGATTAAATGTTTTGCCATGAACTATAACCCCAGCCTTGATCTCACATCGTGATTCCCTTGCCCCAGTCTTCTGAGTGCTGGGATTTAGGCACACACCACCATGCTTGGCTCTGTTCCACTGGGTAGGGAATCCAGTTTTCAGCCATCATTTGTTTCTTTAATCTTGATGAAAATGAAGCGATACAGCATGAATCTTGATTTTTAATTTATTTCATAGTATTCATTACCAGTACAGTAGTATTTAAAATGAAGAAATAGTTAAAAGTATGAGTTAAAAATCAATACTGTGGAGGGGTCAGTATATATTTTATGTTCTAGAATTCTTTTTCATCATTAAAAATGTGTTCTGTAATCTAGCATTAAACTTGGGAATTAATTTAATCTTAGTTTTTAAGCATTTCATGGGCAGATGTACTTGGGGCTCATATAGCAAGGATGCGTCAAGTTCAGCAGCTCAGGACTAGGCACAGAACAGCTCTCCTTGTCCCTGAGTTAGGAGGTAGCAGATTACTGTAGTTTAGCTTATACCTGATCTGAGAGCAGTCAGTTGACATTTAGCCTTTCTCAGTTACCATTTGTAAAGCTATAAACTCGCCCAGTTTTAATGTCAGTGTGTTGTTGTTGGCAGCAATCAAATATTGTCTCTGGAATATTTTGAAGAGTTGGTCTGTGTTTTTTTTTGTTTTGGGTTTTTTTGTTGTTGTTGTTTGGTTTTGTTTTTTAGCTTAAATGAGCACTATTTTTTTTTTAAATTTGACACTTATATGAAAAGCTATTTCAATTTATGGGGAAAATAGATAATCATAACTTACTTTTGAATATTGAAAGTATATAGAAATTAAAAGAAAGCTCAATCTCCTGCCTGCTACGAGTTTAAAAATAAAATAGGAACCTAAATTGGAAATACACCATTTTCAGTCCTGAATATTAAGTGGTATACTGAGGTTTTTTCCTACTATTTTATTGTAGTAAAGTGCACAACATATAAAATTAGTGCCTTAGCTATTTTTTTTTTTTTTTTTTGTTTTTTGTTTTTCGAGACAGGGTTTCTCTGTGGCTTTGGAGCCTGTCCTGGCACTAGCTCTTGTAGACCAGGCTGGTCTCGAACTCACAGAGATCCGCCTGCCTCTGCCTCCCGAGTGCTGGGATTTAAGGCGTGCGCCACCACCGCCCGGCTGCCTTAGCTATTTTTAAATGGGAACTGTTTCTAAACAATAGCAGATACAATGTTGACGTGTAGCCATCATTAGAAGAATTACAACTTGCAGACCTAAGCTATCCCTATCAACATTAGCTCTTTTGCTAGCCTAGGCAGCAGCCCCTTTGGCCTTTTTGTCTGTGTGAGTCTAGTTCTTCTAAGGGCCTCTTATATGAAGGATCATAGGAACTATCTATCCTTTTGTGGTGGCTCCTGGTGAGCGAGACAGTGAGATTCCTCTTTCCCTATTCTTCCCTACTACTTGGACTCTCTGTCTCTCTGTCTGTCTGTCTATTTTACATCCCAGCTACAGTTTCCCCTCCCTCCTCTCCTCCCAGTCCCTTCCCTCGACCCCTTCTCTCCCTGTCCCCCTTAATCCATTCCTCCTCCCTTTCTGTTCAGGAAAGGGCAGGCCTCTTATGGCTGTCAACAAGCATGGCATATCAAGTTGCAATAAGACTAAACACCTCTCCTCATATTAAGTCTGGACAAGGTGACCCATTATGAGAAATGGGTTCTCAAAAGCCAGCAAGAGAGTCAGAGACAGCCTGTGCTCCTGCTGTTTGGAGTCCTACAAGAGCCAAACTACTCAGCTGTCCCGTATATGCAGAGCTGGTTGTTGTTCGGTCTCTGTGAGCCTTTAAGTGCTTGTACTTTTAAGCAGACTTTAGTTAGACATGAAGGGAGGGAGGAAAGCCTTTTGCGGGCAGTTTATAAGAAAGAAGACATGTTTATTATTGGTGTTTTGGTAGATCAGCACTTCATATTAGCTTATGCAAAAGCTTCTTGAAGCAGCTTCCTAACAGAGGAAGCTTTTTGTCCTGTGGAGCATTGTATGAAAAGAGTGAGCAGAAAGGGGAGTAGCAGTTGGTTATCTCCCTTAAATGTTTGTTTTTCTTTTTTAGCCAGAAACAGTTTCATCATTCACTTCTGATCCGGCGCTTCTGTCATTTGCTGAATATTTCTGCAAACCAACTGTGAGCATGGGTCAAGTAAGTATTATGTGGTTTGCTGGGCCTCAGGGCAAGACTTTTATTAGTTCATCAATAGACAACCAAAGACACCTGTGATATTCATATCTGCCTTTGAGATTGATGATATCCTTCACGTTGTTACATGTTACAATTAAATTTAGTACCTTTCTACCCAAATAGGAGAAAAAGGTTACAATTTCTAAGGTATTAGCTTTGATGGGTGATGTTTCTTGTGTCCATTCTTGAAAGAATTTGTTCTCAGTGTTTTAGCACCATTCTTGGTTTTGTTAATTTTTAGTGGTTTTGTCTCCTTTGTATATTAACCCTTCTTTCTGTTTTTCACACAGCTTATTATCTTCAAAATTTCAAAGATGTCTAGTGACCTTTGTTCAACAAATTGTTTAGATATGGAAGAGTGTGTAGGGAGCAGTGGGGTGATTCTGGTTGAAGCCTGTTGTCTGAAATTGTATGTGGTCTCGGGAAGAATGTCCAGCCTCCCTAAGATGTGGCTTCTTCCAGAAAGATGTTTAGATGCTGCCTTACAACATCACTGAGTGCTGAGCAAAGGAGCTGCATCCTCACTACACAGTGCTTTCCCCTCACCTCACAGTTCTTTTTTTTATATTTATTTAAATAACTTATTTTCATTTATTTTACATACCAACCAGTTTCCCCTCTCTCCTCTCCTCCCATGCTCTCCCCTTTCCCATCTCCCCTCCTCCCCCAAGTGCACAAGTAATCCATCATTTGGATTTGTAGATGAGGAGACTGCTTACTTGAGCCATCACACACCCAGGTTCACACAGCTAGTAAGGACTAGGGTGTGCATTTGAGGCCAGGGAGACAGCTCTGATAAAGTCTGTGCCTTCCTTTGCCACTACCACTCCTTCCTCTCTCCAGCCCCCACTGCTGGGTTTGATTCTGAGACCTTGTTACACTTACTTGTATGCTGTTTATTCTTGCCTCTTGGTTGGTCCACACTCCTATGTGTATCCCACTACTCCCAGCTGACTGAAGGCTTTCTCTGCTGTGTTTTCACAGCATTTTTTTAAACCCTAGATTGATCATGATCAGATCACGTGCTGTTTTCTCGCCTTCCTTTTCTGGGTTTTGACTGCTGTGGACTATGACTTTTTATAGAGAGTAACTGGTTTTCACTGTTTACCACGGAGCTGCAGAATAGGCATTGTAACTGCTCCACAGTTGTTTCTTGAGTTGATTTTGCAACATGCTTTGATGTGCTAAAAAGTGCTTTTTCCCCATAGAAACAGGAGATTCTGGACCTCTTTTCTTCAGTACTCTACGAGTGTGTTACTCAGGAAACCCCAGAGATGTTGCCTGCCTACATAGCAATGGATCAGGTATGGTTCCAAAGTTGTTTGTGTTCTGATGTGATTGATCCTGTATTTCAAATGACCTACTTAACTGTGGGAAGTTCCTATGTATTCAGTTTTTAGTTTCTTGCTTGCTTTTAGCCATCTAAGCAGGGAACCATTTCCAGTTGACAGCTCTATGCTATCGCACAGAGGCTGGGCTGGTGCTAACAGGAATGCTCTCTGGAAGGCTGCCTTTCTCTTAGGAGTTCCATGTCCCTTTCTGTCTCCTTCTGATGTGGGGAGGAAGAGACCATTTCCTCTGCCATCTGTTGCCTCCTTTCTGGAAAACTTCTTCATAGGAAGGAAGGCCACAAATGAGCAGTAGGTGAGCCATATGTGCCCCAGTGATTGCTTGAATATGAAATCCCACCTCCTTGGCCAAGGCTGCAGGAAGTTTGAGAACCAGGAATTGGTGATTTAGGGAGATGGTTTGTAAGTGCCTAATAGGGGCATGTAGAACATAATGCCTGGGAGCTTTCCTGAAGCATCGGCCTCCCATCAGAGTTGTTGTTGATACAGCATTCTCACATCTCATAGTTTTTCAGACCCAGATTTGCAATTAAGCCAAGCCAATAGTTTTCTGACCTGACTAAAATGTATCTGGGGAATCTCAAAATACAGATCTTCAAATCCTGTTCTATACCTACTTAGTTGAATTAGGGTGGGAGAGGGCGGTGCAACATCCAGAACCTATAGTTTTTAAAATCCTCAGTAAATATGAAGAGTTTATAGATTAGCAGTTGGGACTCTGTCTCATGCCAAAGAAATAGTCTTTGATAGTCAAAATGATCTGCTGGGTAGCTGAGTAGAAAAGCATTTAGGCAGGAGATAATTCCCCAGGCATGAAAGTTGTCATCTGTGGAGTAGTGTTGCACAGGCCCAGAAGGCTGCTACAGTGTGGGCCCATCTCTTGTCAGTTGCAGAGAGTGACTGCTGCTGTGCTGGCACTTTGCTTGCTGCCTTTCTTGGCGTAGTAGCTAAGCTGTGTTCTTGGTTGCTGATTCCCTTCCTTTTTAAAGCTCCGGGAACTCTCCCCTCCACCACCTCGAGCAGTCTCCATGGATGAATGTCTCCTCTGGTGGTAGCCCTGGTACCTTTATAGGTAATTCTTAAGATCAATAGTTAGCCCTCTGCCTCACTGGGATTCCTGTCTGATCCTGTTGACATTGTACTTGACCTCTTCCCCAGAGATTTATACACCAGTGGATCTTCCTTATTCAGAACTGCTGAATGACCTTGACCTTTGTTCCTTTTACTTGGAAGTTGCCTTCGCGTTGAAGAAAGTGGAGCCACACCAGGGAAGGCTCCTTATTTTGGTCAACTGCATTTTAACACCCCATGGTCCACCATAGCCTTTTGCTGATCTTGTCAGCATTATTTTAAGCAAACCCTAGAATGCAACACTGAAAATATCATGATTACAACATCCTACCATTTCATTAAACAAACTGTTCTTTCTGTTTCCTCACACAGGCTATAAGAAGTCTTAAAAAGAGAGACATGTCAGATACATCTGATCTTTGGCAGATAAAGTTGATTTTAGAGTTTTTCAGTTCCCGAAGCCACCAAGAGAGGCAGCAGGACCCTAAGCGAGGTCTCTTTATGAACTCTGAGTTCCTGCCTGTGGTGAAGTGCACTATTGATGCCACCCTGGATGAGTGGCTGCAAGGTATGGTGACACAGTGCCCTTGTGCTTTTAGGGTACACTCGACTGAAGCTTCTCTATTCTAACAGTTCCCACTGGCAAACTAGGTAAACCTGAGCATAATCTATGGTTTGATGAGTTAAATCCTGTTTAAGACTTTTAAAAATACATTTACCTGCTTTAGGAATGGGCTTATGGAATGAGTCAATGAGATCTTGTGGCCGTGGCTCAGCCAGGAGAAGTGCTAACTTCAGAAGGAGGGAAACTGTAAAGTTACTCATAACTCTGAGAAGTGATGTGACTGTGGGAATGCAGTTGATCTATTACTTGTACATAAAGCTGACTGACTGCAGCCAGTTCCTGGATTTTCATATCCCTTTCTTTTCATTCAGCTCTTCCTAGCAAATAGCTGACAGTGACCTGCTTTGCGTACATACAAACCCTAGTCCTAGTAGTAACTGTGCTTTCCTGTGAAATAGCTTCTGACAAACAGACTGTAAAGCAGCTTGTGGGGAGTGAATGAAGAAAGCAGCTGTGTGAGCACTGTCCTTCCATTTACCAGATGCTTCTGTATAGCTTTGAAATGTTTCTGATAGGCATTAGACTCAACCATTTTTTTTTTTGTGTGTGTGTGTGAAAATGCTATAGAATAGGTGTCAGTGTTTTCTTTCCATTAAATTTGGTATTTCAACACATGTAGAGAGCCTTTGTTATTGGGAAGTATGCCATTAAGGCTTATCAAATTCTCGGAGGAGTGTAAAATGACAGTCCATTCTTAGCATAGTACCTGGTTGGTCTTGTTGCTCTTTAGGGTACTTGGTGAATTCAGTTTTCCAAGCATCTTTAGGTCTCTTATTTGTTTTCTCAAATTTTCTTTTTGGTTCAAATGTCTGTCTTATGCCTGTAGCAGACGACTGAACTGAATTTGGTTTAAATAATGAAGCTAGCAGTAAGCCAGTATTATTAGAAACACACAGATAAGACAGGTTTAAGAGGTTCCTTAATTGCTGGGGCTTCAACTTTTACCCCTAAAGTTCCATTTGCTACTACTCTGTGGTCACTTTATCTCCTCATATTGTACAGCCAGCAATTGCAACTTTCCAGTTTTTCATGATGCTCAGAGAGAGAAAGGAGTTGCTTTTAGGAGCCTTGGCATGAAGATAGGGTCATTCCTGTCCCAGAAGCAAATGTGGCATTGACCATCTCATCCCATTCCTCAATCCACCCCTCCTTGTTGCAGAATGTCTCACTGAATGGCTGCATCTTGGTTACAGACATGTTTTTGTACCTGTGCTCCAGACCTACCACACCAGAAACTCCAGACTGTGTCAGACTGTGTTTCAAAAGCTCTCTGATAGGCGTTGGAATTTGATCATTTCCAACCAAGAGTAAATATAGTCTCTCCTGGCCTTAAGTCATTCTCCTTGAATATTATACTGGAGGAAAAGAAGTGACAGTGGGTGTTTGTTACCATGTAATCTCGTGTATTTGTGTATATTGTCTCACCTCCTCAGCACTCTAAACTCAGCCACTCTCGCCTCTGTACTGTGCAGCACTGCCTGGTTTGTGCCAGGGGCTAAGTCTGCACTTTTGAAAGAATAAGAAAAATAATCCTTCCCATTTTTCTAATCTCTGTTCTTGGTTCTTGGTCCATTTAACTCCTCTTGTGTCCTCTCACAGCGGGAGGTGATGTGGCTGTGCATGCCTACCTCAGTGGGCAGCCTGTTGACAAATCTCAGCTAAACATGCTGGCCTGCTTCCTGGTCTACCACTCTATGCCAGCACCACGACACTTGCCGCCTCTGGGACTGGAAGGTAATTCCACCTTGACCCTCTTTTCAGTACATGTTTCCACCAGTTTCTAGTTAGGGAGACACTCCTGTGAGTTACCTTCTCCAATGCAGCACTCATCTGTAGTCTTGCTTTGTGTTTGTTGAGAATGCTTTCTGAAAATAGAACAACAAATCATATACTTTTATTTCTAAAAAAAAAAAAGTGTTTTTCAGAGTAGGACTATAAACTAGATGTGTATATTATTCTGTTATAATGAATGAAATCTGTATATGTATTTAAGTTTATATGGATTGAACTCAGGGTCTTGGCCATGGCTGTCAAACACTCAACCTGAGCTATATTTATAGAAGTCACTTCATTTTTCTTAGAACTTTTTAAGGTTTCCTAGTTTTTAAAAGTTGTATGTAATCACAATTTCTATTACCCTAAAACTTTAAAGCTACAGGTACTTAATTTTCTAGATCTTTACAATTTTACATTAAGAAGTATAAAAAGTTGAGTGACGTGAGTTGGAATATGGAAACAGGCTCTGAGTTTGTCTGATCTTTTCATGTCATGCTTAAATTGATATTTTGAGGATGAAAAAATATTTTTGAGAAGGGGAAGGTTGTTTGGATAGTGTTTAATCACTTTTAGCTTAATGCCAGTACTCATTTATGGAATTTAGGAAGCCTCAGACACTATAAACAGACTTCTAATTATGGCCATGAGGAATTGCTTGTATTTTGTGGCCTCTTCTATGGAAACAAACACAGAAAGACAAATACATAAAGTAATGGCTTGGTGTTATCCTTGATGACTAGATTGTTTGAGAGGTTCTCAGCTGTGTTGGGGAAAGGGAACCTTAAGGACCTTGAGTTGTGTGAAGGAGGTGAGGATACAGAGAAGCCTAGGGAGCTAGAGTTTGCAAGATGGGCATCAGAGAGGAGAGGGCTGGGGAGGGGCAGAGGGCGGGGCTTCAGAGAGGAGAGAGCCTTGCGGGGAAAATGCCAGAGATTGGGGTTTCAGAAGAGTCAGTCACAGGCCAAGAAGTTGCAGGTAAAGGAATTTCCTGGAGGGAAGAGCTTGCCAATGGACAAGACAATTTACCAGACCGGTGGTGCCCGTCCCACAGCTAATTCTTAATAGAATTTGGGAGGATATAGCTTCAGTCATAAAAAATCAACACAAGTTGTGATCTGTGATCATAACTTCATGTATGTTTTCTTGAAAGTTAACTGTATTCAGATTAAAACTTAGTATCTCAAGAACACAGAAGTACCCAGCACTCAAGTTAGTGGAATTTAGTATGTGGTGTACAGTAAAAACAGTCTCCAGACTGGGCCTGGTGGCCCACACCCACCACCTAAGCACAACCAGGGATTTTATTTCCTGGAGGGGGGAAGCAGTTCAAGGTCATCCTTGGCTGTGGTGTGAGTTCAGGGCTGGCCTTGGCCCACAGGACCCTATCTCAGGAAAATAGCAATAGTAATAGCAGCTACATTGACAGGCCCTCAAGCTGCCCCGCTAATGCAGCCCTAGGCTAGGAATTAGTTAGATTAGTGTTGCCTCAAACTGCCCTTGCATTCCTCTTTGGTGCTGGTATTTTCCACGAGTCCGATAGCTGTCTCTCCCTGGCTTCTGGCTGTGCAAGATTCTTCCCTACCTTTTTTCCTTCCTATTTTATTTTATTGCTCCCCACCCTGTTCTTACTCAGATAAGAAAGTAAACAGTACCAAATGGGGCAGGGAAGAATCCCAAGAAGCAGGGAAATCGAAAAGTGTATATAACTTGCACTGTTGGGATTATAGGAGCATGGTGATGAAGCTTAAAGACTTCCTTGGTGATGCCCCATACTTCCATCAGGTTGAGATCTTGGAAGTATAACAGAATCATCTGTGTAGCTTTCAAAACCCTGGATGCCCAGGCCTCACTCCCAGTTAGTCATGTGCGATCTCTGTGGGACCAAGAGTCACAGGCATTAGGTCAACTCTCAGTCTTCAGTCTGTGGTGGTTTTTTGTTGTTTGTTTGCCTCTTTTATTTTATTTTTGGTAGAAGATCTAACTCACAGATCAGAAATTGAGTGTTAGAATCAGTTTTCAGAATCACTTATCGTAATTGAGGCTAATTAAATTTAATGTGCATAGAAAAGTTCCCACAGTGATTGAATCTCTAAAGTACAGAATGGGTAAGTTTAAATTATCAGTATTTTAGGAAATTAAAAATTCAGGGATTGCCTCTGGGGGCTTTTGTCTTGAAGGAAGAATGCCTGGCTCATACATATGTTGTGCTCCTTGGGAGGACTGTGTGGCTGAGGCTGTGCAGTGATGTAACCTCCTGCATCTCTGTCTCTTCAGGGAGTACGAACTTTGCTGAGCTCCTCTTCAGGTTTAGACAGCTGAAGATTCCAGTCCGAGCTTTGCTCAGACTGGCTCCCTTGCTGCTTGGAAACCCACAGCCGATGGTTATGTGACCACATCTGGTAGTCAGCCTCCCTGAAATGACCACAGCACAGAATCATAATGACAGCAAAGCTGCAGCAGCATTTCTCTTTGGTGAGCAGTGGAACTCGGGGGCGTGTGCCTCGCTGTGTTTAAGATCTGTGTTGGAAGTGCTCCAGAGACACTGTCGCTGTCCATGTCATTAGCCAATGTGTAAGAGTCCTTCAGACGCTCTTTTGTAAATAAAGATTTTTTGGTTTGTTTTCAAAACTATTGGTGATTGCTTTGGACTTCAGAACAGAGCGACAGGCTGATTTTTGAAGCCTTTGAACTTCAGTGGTTCAGGTGAAAGGTCTGTACTCAGAAGTGCCAGACTGAAAAACCACATCACGAAAGTGGACTTTCCGCCGCTGTTGGAGAGTCCTGTGTTGTCTTCTGTGTCACACTCGTCTTCTCTATGATACGGTGGACAATATGATCACTGCGAGCAGAGTTCTAGTGAAGAATTGCCTGCCCAGCATGGAGTACAGGACTGTGCCCTGACCTCAGTGTGACTGTGGGCTGCAGTTCTTGGGCGGTAACAAGGTTAAAGGATACCTTAAGGGTAAGTTCTAATTTGATAGACCCGATGGCCTACTCAGGAGAGGAGGAGGAAGAATGCTTTTCTTTCACTATTATGTGAAAATTTGCAACACAACCGCTTAAAAGCCAGGAAGATTCCCTCATGGGGAACCACTCAGACAGCATCTTGGACTTCAGCATCTCGAAATATGAGAAATAAATTTGTCATCCTTAAACCGTCGTGTCTGGTATTTGGTTTTAGCAGCCTGTGCAGGCTAGTGTATGATACCTGCCCAAAAAATATAAAATTGTCCCTATAGAGGAATGTTAAGAAAATATTTTTAAATATAAAAGTCCATCAGAACTGAAGATTTGGGGAGTATTTTTGTGTTCTGGGTTTCAAGACAGCCCGTGAAGCAAGATAGTCTTCTGAAGGCACCTAAGCTTCAGCCCCACGTGGCAGGAAGAGCTCCTTCCACTTCACTCCAGCCTGTGCTCATAGCTTGCTTTCAGAAGAGTGGAACCATGAATAAGTAGGAACTGCAAAATTTCTACCTACCGATTTCCCATTTGTTAATGAAAAAGCAAATATAGAGGCTCCATTGGGATTTGGTAATGTCCATCTGCCTGCATCAAGGTAATTTGTGGCTGACTTTGAGAGCAAAATCTTAAAGATTGCTATGAATTGGTAGGTGATGAACATTCAATTTCATCAAGATTGAACCAACTGTTCAGGCACTTGTTATTTTCACTCTCAGTTGTTAATAGTTGCTGTAGAAAGACTTGAGAGGTGTCTGACTAGTTTTTGGACACATTAACTCATACAGGAGGAAAAATAGTCATGATGGTGTCGAGAAGAGTGAACAGTAAGCTTTAAAGAGAGGATTGGATACAGTGGAAACTGCATTGACGGGCCTGTGGTCAGCTGGATGAGCACAAAGAATAAATTTTAGTGCTCTCGAGTCAGCATGCCAGGATCATCAGATAATCATTATCTTTACTAGTTTCCAAAACATCCCATGGGAGGCAGTCTCACCATCCACAGCAGCCAGCCTCCCAGGAGCCATCGCAAGGGAAGAGCTAGAGAAACCTGGCAGTGAAGTGTCTAGTCTCAAAGCAGCACCTGGGACTTCAAGTGGGGGCTATTTAGCCAGAACTTGTTCTATTGCTTCACCTCCTGTGCACATGGAGTGGAGACAAGGTGTAGCTGCTGTGAGTACAAGTATTGTCTGCTACAGACATACAACTGAACAGTGCGCTCAGATCCTTTCCCCAAAGGATACTGACATCTGCTCCTCCCTCAAGGTCCAACGAGGGAGTGGGAGCCAAGGCAAATTGAGGTCAAATGTCAGGCTTCTGCTCTGACATAGCCCTCGCTCTCCATGCTGGACTTTCCCCATCGCACTGCGCTCCAGCCCTGCTCTGGTCTGCTGCTGCCAGCATGGATTCTAGTCCAAGAGACTCAGAAACAGCTGAAAGGACTTGGCATTGGCAGAGCTTATGAACATGTTGAAAATATGGGTGAGCATCTTTGGACTCACATGGGCCTTTGTGTCTCTTTTCTGAGTTGTATTCATTGACTTAGTCTATGACTACGGTCACATTATATAGAGCATCTTGTTTAAGCTTTTGTCTTTTAGCTTTGATAAACTTGAATACTGCAATCTTTTTCCTTTAGGATACTTTGGAAAGTACTTTTCAACTTTTTTTCTTTTAAACATTCATATTAGAATTTTAAAACAGGAACTTTATAGTAAATTCAGTAAGATTTATAAAGTACCTGTCAGACCTTAATTCCTGTGCTTTTTGTACTCAAGTGCTTAGCTGTACTGTTAGCCTTTTCTCTGTTGCTAATGGATGTCTCAAGTCTCTGCCTTGTGAGATTGTGTGCTTTAAAAACTCAAGACATGTTGGATCTTGATGTCACAGTTGCCTCATGGGTGGAAGGTGGGTCCCTAAAGCAAGCACAAAGGTAGGAAAGCCAGTGTTGATGGTATTTTCCTTCAGATTAAAACATCCCTCCAGGAAGAAGAGGTAGGGGAAACTCAAGAGACTAAACAAGCATCACATGTCTTGGAAAGTTGAAGCTTAAGGTCATAAAGTGCTCCCCCAAGGTTATAGAAATAGAGCTCTATGTGTTTGTGAGGAGTAGGGGATGGAGGATGATAAAAAGACAGAAAGGGGCAAGTTGACCACCAGAGCTGCTTAGAGGAGGAGGCCTAGCTGCCTGGGAGAGGAGTCTCTGACTAGTCAAGCAGTCTGCAAGTTGTGAAGAGCTGTTGCCCATGTTGAGGTGGCTTTGGTGATACAGCTGCTTTTGAGTTGCCCCTGCTCTTGTAAGTGGTCCCAATAAACTCATTGATTTGCTAAGCTGGACTTTGGCAATGTCATTTCTTTGGTCTGTCTTTGATTTCCTAACTGATTTATGAACGTGTGTCTGGGGGTCGGTGGGGAGAGTCTTCCCAGGAAAAGTGTCACACAAAGCTAGCTGTACCACTCACTCACCTTTCAGGCTTGGGTGTTTCTGTGCCTATTCCACTTACCAAGCATGTTTGGGGTTTGGGTGAATGACTCAGTAATAGAGTGTAAGCACATGCGAGGCCCTGGGTTCTATCCCCAGCCAAACACACACAAATACTTTCAGTATTACTTTTTCTACTGTCAGAAGTTAAACAGGAATGTTCTGGATAGATGACACAGATCTGAAGCTGAGGAATCCGGAGCAGACCCATTGTAAGTAGCCTGTAAAGCTGCAGCCTTCCTGATCCTCCAAGTGACACGAGCAATCTCAAACCCTCTTTCCACATCACGTATGCATTCATTCATATCCCAAGAGCAGACCATGGGTGCTGTCTCCAGTATCATCTCACTCCAAACTCTGATCTGTTGTTCTTTAAAAATCTTCTGTCAGGCTGGGCGATGGTGGCACACGCCTTTAATCCCAGCACTCTGGAGGCAGAGGCAGGTGGATCTCTGTGAGTTCGAGACCAGCCTGGTCTACAGAGCTAGTTCCAGGACAGGCTCCAAAGCCACAGAGAAACCCTGTCTCGAAAAACAAAAAAAATAAAATAAATAAAATAAAAATAAAAATCTTCTGTCCACCCAGTTCATGGGCTGCGTGTGAGCTTGAAGACAAACCAAGTCAGACTGATTCTTAAGTCGTGTTTACATTTTTAAACGATTACATGTGTGTGAAGGTGTACATGTGCCGCAGAAACCCCATGGTGGGGGTAACTTGGTTTTTATTTTGAGATTTAAGTTTATGAATCCAAGTGCTTGTTTAAATATATGTCCATTCACCACATGCTTATAGTGTCCCCAGAAGCCAGAAGAGGGCATCAGATCCCCTGGGACTGGATTTACAGACAGTTGTGAGCCTGGGTGTAAGTGCTGGGAATTGAACCCAGGTCCCCTGCAAGAACAGGTAGTGCTCATAATAGCTGAGCCATCTCTTCAGCTCCAAGAGGAGTTGTGAGCATGTCTTCACCTGCCTTGTTGAGGTATGGTCTCACTTGTTGCTGCTGTGTGGCATACTCTAGGGATCAAACTCACATCAAGCTTGCAAGACAAGAGCTTTTTTAAATCTACTGGCTCTATTGAAGCACCCTTAGTGCCTGGCTTCCCTCCTGGTTCCCAAGGCCTTAGATGCTCTGAACCTTGGCTTTCTTCCTCTGCTGTCCAGATGGCACTCTCATCTTGGGGATGCTAACTGCTTCCCCTTCCCCAACCGTTGTTTTTAGTACTTGGAATGATCTTTCTTTCTTTCTATTTTTTTTACTTTGTTTTTTTTTTAATAGAGTTTTTTAAAAAATACCAATCCAAATTCCCACTCCCTCCCCTCCTTCCATTCCCTCCATACATCCTCCCACCCCACCCCCATCTAATCCTGTTTTGTGGAAGGTCTAAGGCCCTCCCTACTACATCTAGACTGAGCAAAGTATACATCCAAAGAGAATAGGATCCCAAAAAGCCAGTACATGCAGTAGAGATAAATTGCAGTGCCACTGCCAGTGGCCCCTCAGTCTGCCACAGCCATACAACTGTCAGCCACATTCAGAGGGACTAGTATGGTCCTATGCTTGTTCCTTCCCAGTCCAGTTGGAGTTGGTGAGCTCCCATTAGCTCAGGTAAACTGTTTCAGTGGATAAACCCTTCATGGTCTTGACCTCTTTGCTCATATTCTCATTCCTTCCACTCTTCAACTGGACCTTGGGAGCTCAGTCCAGTACTCCCATGTGGGTCTCTGCCTCTGTTTCCATCTGTTGTTGGGTGAAGGTTCTATGGTAATATTTAAGATAATCACTGGAAAGACCAGTTTAGGCCCCTCTCCTCTATTGCATAGGGTCTTAACTGGGGTCATTTTTGTGTTTCCTGGGAATTTTTCTAGAGCCAGATTTCTTGCTAATCCCATAATGGCTCCCTCAATCAAGATATCTCTTTCCGAGGGAGAAGATGAGCAAGGAAGTCAGGACCACGAGGGGTACACCCACCCACTGTGACAGTGGGGCTGATCTCTTGGGAGCGCACCAAGGCCAGCTGGACTGTGACTGAAAAAGCATGGGATAAAACCGGACTCTCTGAACATGGCAAACAATGAGGGCTGATGAGAAGCCAAGGACAATGGCACGGGGTTTTGATCCTACTTCATGTTCTGGCTTTGTGGGAGCCTAGCCAGTTTGGATGTTCACCTTCCTAGACATGGACGGAGGGGGGAGGATCTTGGACTTTCCACAGGGCAGGGAACCCTGACTGCTCTTTGGACTGGAGAGGGAGGGGGAGAGGAGTGGGGGAGGGGGAGAAGGGTGGGAGGAGGGGAAGGGAAATGGGAGGCTGGTAGGAGGTGGATACTTTTTTTTCCTTTTCTCAATAAAAAAAAAAAAGATATCTCTTTCCTTGCTCTCATATCTGTCCTTCATTTCAACTATCCGATTCCCTCAAGTTCTCCTCAACCCTCCCGTTCTCCTCTTCCCCTTCTACCCTCCCTTCTCTCTCCCCTCGCCCCCATGCTCCCAGTTTTGTCAGGCAATTTGTTTCCAATTTCCAGGTGGGTCTATATATGTTTTTCTTTGGGTTCACTTTATTACTTAGCTTCTCTAGGATCATGAACTATAGGTTCATTGTCCTTTGTTTATAGGTAGTATCCACTTATGAGTGAATACATACCATATTCGTCTTTTTGGGTCTGGGTTACCTCACTCAAGCAAAGGACACAGTAGATAAGACAAAAAGGCAGCCT